TTGCAAGCGTTCATGCATCGTGTGCCTCGTTTTGCCCAACGCCTTTTGGCGTCCTCTGGTCTAGCACCGTTTGAGACGAGGCTCAAATGAAAGCTATCTCTGGTGTGGACCAATCAGTTTCAAGGACAATGCATCATATTATCAGAATATGTTTTTGGTTTGCATTCTGACCACAAGTATTGTGGTTTAATGCAGACATGATTCCTTGTGAAAGGTTTCAGTTTGGATTTTCACTTCTTAATACCTGTTTTGTTGCCAGAAAAAAGGGGAAAACCTATTCTCAGATCTTAGACCATTTGACCGGCACGGGAAGAGAACCAGGTGGCGAAAAGGTGTTGTCACATTCTTGCTCGAAGGTGGAACAAAGCCATTTCTATTTACACCACAATTGAGAGATCAGACCCATTTCCAAAAAAAAAAAACCTCTTACCTTGTGCAGCCACAAACAAACGACAAACATCCCCTGTATAGCCTAAACATAATTTTGGGGCAAGTTCTGTTAGCCAGCACCTATGAAGGCCGGCACGGTACATGAGGGGGTGGGAGGCCAGCACCACGCCCGACCGCCTTCGTCTCCCGTGGCGATGTTTACACACCACGCCGGGTGCTCATTTTAAGTCGACTTAGGGGAGGCCCAGGACTGGTTCGGATAATCGTCACTGGTGCTGGCCGTGAACAAGACTCGAACTCTGTCCGCCGGGTAGGTAGCGCAGCGCGTTAGCCGACACTTACACACACCCCAACAACCTCCCGAGCAACGTGACACTTCAACACTTGGAAAAACACGTGGAAACAAATGCACGGATGCAAAAATGCATTAACGAAAGCACGCCGGCACAGCTATTTGAAGTGTGACGTTCCATTTTGCTTGCGAATTCAATCTTCGATTTACAATATCGTTTGTCGTTGCTTAATGCTTGTTGAAGCAATTCAGACACATGCTGAAGCATATTTTTTTTAAAAGTAACTTTGGTTTTCACTTACACGCAACGCGACCCAAACTATACAACAACAGAAGATGGGGCAACTGCTGTGGACAGCTGCACCATGGGACCAATCCGTTTCAAAGACAACGCATAAACATTATTGCATGTTCACCACAAGCACGTGTGGTTAATGCAGACGTGACTCCTTGCAAAAAAAGGTTTCTGTTTGGTGTTTGAACATCTTAACACCTCCTGTTTTACTGCCAGGAAGGGTAAAACACACACACACATCTTCTTATTTGTCATGCTGCGAGCAAGTTGATTCTCAGTCAGAGCCCTGCACCAAGCGATTTCCGCCACCCGCTCCAGGCTACACGTTACACCCAGCTGGGAGCGACGCCCCACAACCATTAAAGGAAGAGGTCTATGAACACTCCACGAACGTAGTCAAAACTCCCGAACGAGAACACAGCAACCATCAAACAGCTGCACTGACACGCCACGGATTCACGAGCCGGGAGGAGCAACGCGTTGCTGAGCCGGGCCTGGAGGAGCAACGCGTTGCCGCCGAGTCTGGAGGAGCAACGCGTTGCCGTGGAGCCGGGAGGAGCAACGCGTTGCTGCCGAGTCTGGAGGAGCAACGCGTTGCCGCGGGGCTTGGAGAAGCAACGCGTTGCCGCCGAGTCTGGAGGAGCAACGCGTTGCTGAGCCGGGCCTGGAGAAGCAACGCGTTGCTGAGCCGGGCCTGGAGAAGCAACGCGTTGCCGCCGAGTCTGGAGGAGCAACGCGTTGCCGCCGTGCCCCCTCTCCCGTTAACTCCTCGCAGCACTCGAACCCAGCGGTAGCTGCCGGCCCTCGCGACGACATTGGAGAGGAATCAATTCACTTGGGAGCGGAGCGGGGGACATTGGAGGATGTTGCCGGGGTTTGAGCTTCGCGTTGTTGGGCTCATCGGTACTTGATGAGCGCCTCCAGTCGCTATCCCACCGCCCACCCGCCCGAGAGAGCATGACGAGGTGGTGGAAAGGGGAGTTTCTTGTGTTTTCAGAAAGTTATTTTGCATTTGAGTTTTTAACTAAAAAATAAATAGAAAGTAATTTGTTTAATTCAATGTATCTTTTTTTCGTTAAAAACTCGTCTCCACATAAGAGGATAATCGCAATACTTTACAGTATACATTATACGAAGGTAAGTCCTACATATAGAATGAAGACGCATATACAAATATCAAAATGAGAGGACATGCTCAAGGAAAAACTAAAAGAAAAAACGAGTCTTGCAGAGTTTCCAGAACTGTTCGGTGACTCGGAGCCAGTCTGAGGGGCCGGTGGAAGAGAGGTCCACATCTTAGTTGCACCACACTCTACTATCGCCCAGCGTACAATGAAACATTCTCGGGTGGAGCGAGCAGGGCCTGCCTTGTGATTGCGTGATGTATCTGCCAGACGTCTGGGGGGCCAGGCGGGGCTCCAGGTGCTGAGGACCAAGGCCGTTTTGAGCTTTGTAAGTCATTACAGCTAACTCACACCTGTCAGTGCCGACATTATTACAGACAAATTCAGACCGTATTGGTCACCCTGCGCCCCTTATAAGTCGCAACGTTCATCCTACAAAGTCCCATCACAAGGAAGAAACGCAAATATACAAACACTTTTGCAGTAACAACGGCAGGGGGCGCACAGCCACCGCCGACTCGGGGGCTTCTCCCAAACCCCCCCCCCCCCCCAAGTCCCTCGCGACTCACCTACGCACCTTCGGGGCCGTCCATAAATGACGTCACGCACCTGGGGGCGGGCGGGGAGGTGTCAGACATTTGGGACGATGTGTGACGAGGGGGGAGGGGGGGGGGTTTGAGAAATGTGACGTCACATCAGAATGCTGCAACTTTAAATAAATATAGGCAACACGTTCTACTTGATTAAATAGACTTTTTACTAAATGTTTTCTCATACAACATCAGAGTGCAGCGCCACATTAAATACGCACTACAATGAAAATAGTTTTAAGTAATTTGAAGCATGTTTGAAAAAAATTGGGGGGGGGCAGAGCTTTGTGACGTCATATTTGAGGGGGGGGTCTAACTTTTTCTGACGCCGTGTGACGATTAGGGGGGGGGGGTCAAAAATCGTCCAAAATCGCGTGACGTCATTTATTGGCGGCCCCTTTCTCCTGGCGCCGCCTCCTCCTCCTCCTCCACCTCCTCCTTCTGTCTTTGACATTCCTCCTGCGCCAAGACACCGGCGGTGGAGCCATCAGCAGCATCAGAGCGTCAACAGGCTGATGCGTAGCCACGCCTCCTTCACAAGTGGACACAATGTTAATTTACTATCCTCATGAAATGGCCAGCATCCGCCAGTGGATATTGAAATACGGAGATTTGAAGTGAAACACCGCCAGCGAAACTGTAATTTTTTGCTAGCGGTGCTTTGAATTAACTAGAAAAATCTGCATTGACCGTACGGTATTTATTTATTATTTGGGAGGCTAGTCCTGCAGATTTATAATATGGGGTTTAGAAATCCACTCGTGAAGGTGTTTTACCGGCGCGACTTTCCCATGTCAATGAGATCACCGTCTCCCTCCCCTCTCCTGCCTTTACCCGGGTCGTCTGCACCCCCCCCATCCCCACCATCAACCAAGGACGCGTTGGATACACGCGCCTGGTGGATATCCGCGTGCAGCGAAAATAGAGCGATATATAGAAACGACTAGCTTTACTACCCGGCTTCGCCCGAGACTTGGATTCTTGTCTTGGATTAATACACGGCCTATGCGGAGGGTTGTGGGGGGGGGGGAGATGCCTGACGTCAGCAGGCACACTGCGTGAGGCTGCCGCGTGCGGGTGACATCACAGATGTGACGTCACCGCTCACTTGCGTGCAAAATATATCCATTATTGCGCCCCCCCCCCCCCCGCCAAAAAAATGTTTTTTATACTGTTTGCATTGTGTACAGTCTGGAAGCTACCAACATGCCAAATTTTAAGTTTGTTGCATGTCGGGAAGTATGCTAAACATTTCGAACAGACACACATTCACAAATTTCCCTTTTATATAGATTAACCACAGTGCAGCGAGTGTGGCCACGCGACCCAAAAAAACAATAGGTTCTTCAACGGAGGAGCAGCACCCACAACTCCACGAAGCCTCTCTTTTGGAGTCGTGCGGAGCGCGTTTGAGAAGACCTCTGCACGTGGTCGTGACAGGAACTGCTCGCTGCAAGACACGACTCCACGTCCATCCCAGTGCTCGCCGAGCTCCGTCGATTTCCACATTAACAATGTCGCACTCGTTAACGCTCAGGGGCTTGCTCGCCACAAATGAATCGCGTTGACCTCGGTGATTTCGTTAAGGAGCATAAGCCGTCACGCGAACTCCCGCTCATCCTCGCAGCAAGCTGCGGGTTTCTGGCTGAAACGTCGAACAAAGGACGGCAGTCACCGCATCGCGCACTTTCAGATGCGCTTTCACGGCCGTCTAGAACGCTCTTCCTTCCGATATTAGGACGCCACTGGAGCTATGCACTTTTAAATCTAGATTGAAAACTCATTTCTTTAGAAGTGCTTTTTGTGTTTCGTTGTTTTGTCCTTCCCCCGCACCTCCGATTCGCAAGGTTGGCGAAGCACCGCGTGAAAGAAGTTCAACATACATAAACCAGTCTGTTTAGGCTATACGCGGGGGGGGGGGGGGGCGGTCTGTCTTGTGTACGTGTTTTACGTAATGCGGACAGCGTTCATTGCTTAGCGTGTCTCGTGGGACGTGTAACAATCATCGGGCACGTGCAGCGCGGAGCGACTTACTGTATGGTAATTTGAATGGGAGTAAATTGGTAACCGCGAAATGACGTCGTGGCGTGGGTATGGGTCAAGGAGACTGGGGCTGCTAGGAGACCCTGGGCATAAACAACGATTACAAACATCACCAATAGATCAATAGATCACAAACAATTACTGTCGTGAAGAGCAATCACGACAGTAATTGAAGGCACTATGTTGGACGTCTTTCGTACGGAGCCAACCGTGCTAATCGGATCAGACGAGCTCACGAGCGTACTTGAAAATACATTACTAGGATGTTTAATTTAAGATTTTATTGAAAAGTTTTTTTGCGTATATCAAAACAAAGCGTGTACACATGCACCCACTTCAGAACTGCAAAACGTATTCACAACACGCAGGTAAGTATTTGACAAAAACAGACGTAAGTGCACTCGCATCGCATTCGACAACGCCGTGTGGCTTTGTTGGTGCGAATTCAAAAATCAGTGCTTGAGGCCTGGCCGTCACTGCAAGCGCCCTAGGCACATTAATGGGATACCAGAGTGGCGATGATAAGTTTCAACCCGGCAACAGTGTCGACCTAACTTGAACGCGATCAGTCACCCGCGCTGGCGAGCACGTGATCACGTTCTCGAGTTACGAACGCGAATTAGCGGTCGGCCGGTCAGAATGCGTCCGAAGGTCATCTTCGGCTCTCGGCGAGGTCAATCTTCCCGAGCCCTGAGTTAACGCCACGCTGCGGTGCTTGGAATCAAGGCACTTAAGTCGGGGACGAGTCTTCCCCCCAGAAGGATGTCTCACCCCATACCTCCTGCCCGGCCCCACCCGCGCGCTAACGTTTTATAAGATATAAACAAAATGTAGGGCCATTGACGCCTTCAAAAGAGACACAAAAAGGGGTCCACGTTGTCTGAGCCGCTCAAAGCGAGCAAAGGGGAAGCGCGCTCATCTCGGTCGAGCCAGCGGTGTCAATTCCACACTGGCATGGCAGAGACAGTCCATCCGCCGTTGCATTGTATTTTATAGTTAAGTTATATCATGGCACTTTGCATAGCTTGAATAGGTGACCGCTATGCAGAGAAACACGTGGTGTACGGTTGATGGCGGGCATACGTTATCGGCAGAGGGCAGTTCAGCAAGAAGACGACAGCTGTACTCTACTGATGTTCTTCGAACGCTACCGTCTGTGCTTCCCTGCCTTCACCGAACAGCACCGACTGAGCAGCGTGGTGAAATAACCCCCCCCCCCCCCACCCCGAACGATCCCGCACGGTGTGCGTAGGTCCTCATCCAGTCGTCGATTGACGAAAGACCACTGGGGGTTTATGTACACGCGGCATATACCGAAATATACCAGAAAGTCTAGAAGCGTTCGACGAGCACGCCGTTTGAAACCAAACCGTACATTTCACACCGGTAAAAGTAAAAGACGCTGGTGGAATTAGTTCTAGAGCCCCCTCTAGGAGTGTATTTGGCCTACTCTTCCAGGCTGGGCAGACGTCTTTGGAAGAGAAGAGGTGTGCCCACACGTCACCCCACCACTACAACGCGCGACTTGCCCATCGACTTCACTGCGATGGACCCATTTACACCGCTGGGTTGGAAACGAGGCGGTGGGGGTTGGCGGATTTAAGAAACTTGCACCCTTATTTCAGCTGCCGTGCCAGAAGATCGAAATTAACCGGCGACCTCTGGACTGCCGGTCCGGTGCCATAAACCAGGACAATGCGGCAGCATCTTATTGCCACAGTGCTGGCACGAGTATAATAAAGCAACACAGTGTGCTGCATTCTTGTGGTTTCAAGCCTCGTCTCACAGCGGAGGGTTCGAATTTCAAGCCCATTTATTTATTTATTAATGCTCCACTGTGCCAGTGGGGGCGACCAAAAAGCTGTGACGACAAAAACACTCAAAGCAGAATGGTCCCGGATTATACACACTCGAGGTGTGGGGGAGGGGGGCACGTGGGGAACGGTTGCGCAGTGGTCGGCGCACGCTCCGCGATATGAACCTGCCCACCTGAGTTTGACTCCTGGCCCACGGTTGACATCTGTCAGCGGCGAGTGAAATCCTAACCGGTTTTGCCCCCCCCCCCACCCGCTTCCTTCACTAAAATCCCGCTGTGACCAGCGTGGTGAAGTATGGCAAAACCACAATCCACCATGACTGGTGGCGAGGCCGAGACCTTCATCCAACAGTGGATTGATAAAAAAATGTTTTGACACATGCGGGGGATTGAATCCATATCAATCGTGCATTAAAGAATCGATATTACCGCATTCTCCAGATGATGAGCCACTCCGGGAAGAAAGAATCCCAAAGCTACACTTGAGTGTTAATAAAGTTATACAGGTAGAGGATTATAAGACGCACTCCCAACTTTTGATTTACAATACGGGGGTGGAGCGAGTGCATCTTATCTGGAGAATCCAGTCATCGACCATGAATCTATCTATGCACTGTTATATCTCTACTGCACAGCACTTGGTCTTTGTTAACAGTGTAATACAAGTGGAGATAAGAGGGTCACATGTGTTAGACCCTCCCCTTAAGTAATGAGGATTGAGGGAGGGGGGCATTAGAAAACGTATTCTACCCACCCACCTCCATCACGTGCAAATATGAAACGGCAAAAGGACAATAACAATATGTACAAGGGATTATTTCAAAACAGAATATCAATATCACTGAAAAAGGCCAAACCAGTACGCGCGACTATATTATTGTTCCCAGTCCATGTAGGCGGCGGCTACTTCTGGCGCTGCTGCTGTGCGTGCTCCGGAGGCACCGTTTTAAAGCCACCGCACAATCTGGGGTGTCCCAACCGGGGGGAGGACCACATGGGCGAGCCGGGAAACGCCTCCCTCCGTCAGCCCCACGCACGTCTGCACAGCCAACGTCCAACTCGACCGCTTTCGCCACGCACATCAGCGAGCTTCCTCGTCCTCCTCTTGGCTTATTTCCGACACCGGCCCTGCCCTCGCCACTGCTCAGGCAGCCCCGCCCCTTCGCCCCATATCACGAGTCGAGAAACCAATTGTTAATTTCGCAAAAAAAAAGCTTTGGAAACGGCCGCGATGGACCCGACCGGAATGTACGTCAGCTTTAATATAATTTTGCTGCGGTGGTGGCAATTAGCCACCAAGGGCGTCTGTGTTAAGTGACGATGGGTATGGGCAGGGAAGAAGGGCAGGGAAGAAGGGGAGGGATCCGACAGCACGGAAGCCTGGCGGATTTCCGGGTTCCATACCATTGGAGTAGCGGACAAGAATGAGCGACCGCCAAGCCACACTTGTTACTCTTGAAATGAAGAAAATTTTGACTCACCCCCTGAATTCCATCGACTGAGAAGGGGGGGGGGGGTATCACCAATGTCTGCATCCATGATCCAGGGTGCATGCGTGTGACCCCCAGGACCCCGACAGAGCAGTCGTTTGGGGGGCGAAGTGGGAGGCGGGTGCATGGACAAACACAGCGATTGTCCCGTCCACACAGACACTGCTCAGTTCCAGTGACTGGAGGAATTTTCTCCCGAGCAGGAAACAAAAATCGCTGTGGCCAGCAGGGCGGTGCGGAGGCGGTGGCCTCAAACGTTTAGCGTGACGAGGGGGAGCTCAAAAACTCGGTCGCAGAAATGTAGAGCACTGAAAACAAATCCCCCGCGTGTCTGCGCAAATCGCACGTAGTTGGCGGAATAGCATAAGAATTAAAGTCAGAAAAAAATAGCTCAGCACTAATGTTTTTTGGTTTGATATTTGTTAACACTGATGGAGGGCAGCTTCCGGAGGCCTTCATCCAGCAGTGGACCGATTATGGCTGTGGTGATGACCACGTTACGTTGTGGTTGTCGGTAGTGCAAATAAATTGTGGTATGTGGATTTCAACGGTGTAAATATGTGTTGGTAGCACGTGTATGCGTGTGGGCGTAATGGTAGTGCATGTATGTACGTACATAGTGGTGCGCGTGTGTCATTAGCGCATATCGGTGTCAGCAGTACACGTGTGTGTGTGTTGACAGTGCGAGTGTGTTATAATAAGTACACATGCGTGTCGGTTAGTGTGTACGAGTGTTGGCAGTGCAAACGAGTTGGTAGCATGCGATCGTCAGCAATGCATGCACGCATACATACATTTGTGTTGCTCGTGTACGTCAGTGTGGGGAGTTCCAGATCAGTGTGGCGGTGCGAGCGAGCGTTTGAAGTTGGATGCAGCTGCCCCAGCGCTCGTTGGTGCTGCCGTACGATTATCAGAAATGTCAACGACGGCGGTGTGCGTGCGTTAGCAGTGGGGAGCCGCAGTGCAACGGTTAGCGCGCTGCGCTACGAACTAGGCGATCATAATTCGATTCACCTTTACGGCCAACACCGGTGACGATTATCCGAATCGGTTTCTAGGCCTCCCCTTGGTCGACTCTGCCTCAAATGAGTACCTGGTGTGATGTGAAAAACATCGCCACTGGGGAGACAAAGGTGGCCGTCGTGTGCCGTGCCAGCTTTCATTAGGTGCTCGCTAACAGCACTTGTTGAGGCTATAAGGGGGGACCTTTGTCTTTGTTAGTTAGCAGTTGTCAGTCCGTGTGTTGGTGCGTGCGGATTGCGGTGACGAAGCTGCCCCGGTCCTCACGACACGTAGACTCGAGCGGAGCTCTCCCTGGGGTTTTCGAAGGGGTCGAAGTGTCTCGTGGCTGCGGCGTACTGAGCACGACAAAGAGACACGAGGAGCAGGGTTAGCACGCTGGCTCGATTTTCAGCTGCTCCGCTCCCGTGGCTCAGTGACCGATCACCTTGAGAAGCAATTACTAACTGAAAGGCACATCGCAATCCATTCTATGAAATACAGTGAAACCTTGGATTGCGAGCATAATTCGTTCCGGAAACGTGATAGTAATCCAAAGCACTCGTATATCAAAGCGAATTTCCCCGTAAGAAATAATGGAAACTCAGATGATTCGTTCAACAACCCAATAATACTGTATTCATATAAAAATGATTAATACAAAATACCTTTTTATATTTTTATTATTTAAATTTTATATAAAGTAATCAAATTTATTAATTACATTTAATCGTGGCTGGTGTGAGGGAGACGAGACAGAGGAGGAGTGTTATTGTGTAGGACGACTTTCAATTGCAGTACAGTTACTAAATAACAGTCACTACACTTGGACACAAAATTAAAAAAATGCTTTACGCACACACACGTGGTGACAACACTATAGTACTATAGTAAACAGTATACACGTGATCACAACACTATAGTACTATAGTAAACAGTATACGCTCGCACCGATGTTGACTATACGAGTGAGGCACGCCGACTGAGACCGAGCATGGGAGATGATTACCCACAATTCCGCAGCGAGAGAGAAGAACCATTGGCTCAGTTGTGATCACGGGACGCTCGGCAAAGCGTATACAGTACTGCTCGTATTGCAAGACATCGCTCGTTTATCAAATTATTATTTATTGCAAAACACTCGCAGACCAAGTTACTCGCAATCCAAGGTTTCACTGGAAACGTTTTCGTCACCAAATGTACGCATATTTTGCATCATCCATTTTATCAGGACCGCCCATCTACTCTTTGAAAGCTATCCAACTAGGGTGTAAAGCGCTGTGTGTTAGCTCTGTCCGTCTGCCTGGAACACCGAGATCACGACCACCTTCATAAAGGTCATTCTAATATGAACAAAACTTTGTTGTAACCATGTGTTGCTCTTAGGAACTTATCCAAGAGAAAACTGGCCAAACTAAAAATACAAGGATTCATGCCCAAAAACTTGTAGACAGAAACCAGAGGAAAAAATAACTATGTGAGAATATACAAATGCATTTTGGCCCGACAGCTACCTCCCGCACTATTTATGAATACAACAGCACCTTGCACAGAGCGCTGCATAATTCCTCCGGACTGTGCGTCAAAATGCCCGGCCGACGCGACGTGACTCACGGAGGGAGGTGGCGAGTGGCGGGAGAGCAGCGGGGCGTCCTCCATCCTGGGGGCGGCCGGGCTGAAGGAGGACGGGCGGTTCCTGCGGAGACAAAGCAGCAAACTGATCATCAGCCGTTATCTATCCACTGCTGGGTGACAGGCTTCCCGCGGTCTCTCAAGGAAAACCATTCATCGAACTACTGCACACGAGTTGGTTCATCGCTCCATTTGTGGTGGACGTGCTCCGGGGCGAGTTCACTCCTTTGGCTGCCACTCCATCGTCAGTCTCGACCACCGGCCATTGTTTCTTTCCAGCCACGATGTGTGCTGCCCAATCCACTTACTCTTCTTCACCACGGTGGTGAGATGTTAACCACCTTACCTGGTATATCGAAGGGCGTGAGTTCGATACAGACCCCGGGACCGGTATATTTGGAGTTTGCATGTTCTCCCCGTGGTCGTGTCGATATTTCTCCGGGTCCTCAGGTTTTTCCCTCCATATTTAGAATCAAGGTGCGTTTAGAGTATTTGGCTGCTATATATTTATGCGTGATAAGCCACTTCATTGAGCTATCGTCTGTGGCCAGGTCGCTTCCAAAAGAGCTGGTCAGCTCAGTGGGCCTTACCTGCTGAAATAAAAAAAAGATAAATTTACATTTTTTTGTTCCACATTCACTCTGTCCCTTAATTCCCACGTGTTCCTCTTCCAATGTCTCAGCGTAGATCCAAGCATGTTGCTCTTCGCATGTCTCAGTGAAGTTTTGGGTTGCTGTAGACTGGCACACGAAAATAAGACAGCCATATGGTATAATGGATGTGGTGTGCCGGGTGTGGAAATATTTACAAGGTTGCCGACGCAAACAAACCCAGCTAAAATGAAGCCCTTGGACAGATACACTAACAGGACGCGTTGACTCAATACAGCACTCATAGACCTACACAGGACCTGATGACTCAACACAGCACTCATAGACCTACACAGGACCTGGTGACTCAATACAGCACTCATAGACCTACACAGAACCTGGTGACTCAATACAGCACTCGTAGACCTACACAGGACCTGATGACTCAACACAGCCCTCATAGACCTATACAGGACCTGATGACTCAATACAGCACTCACAGACCTACACAGGACCTGATGACTCAATACAGCACTCATAGACCTACACAGAACCTGATGCTCAAAACAGCACTCATAGACCTACACAGGACCTGATGACTCAATACAGCACTCACAGACCTACACAGGACCTGATGACTCAACACAGCACTCATAGACCTACACAGGACCTGATGACTCAACACAGCACTCATAGACCTACACAGGACCTGATGACTCAATACAGCACTCATAGACCTACACAGGACCTGATGACTCAATACAGCACTCATAGACCTACACAGAACATGATGACTCAACACAGCACTCATAGACCTACACAGGACCTGATGACTCAATACAGCACTCACAGACCTACACAGGACCTGATGACTCAACACAGCACTCATAGACCTACACAGGACCTGATGACTCAACACAGCACTCATAGACCTACACAGGACCTGATGACTCAATACAGCACTCATAGACCTACACAGGACCTGATGACTCAATACAGCACTCATAGACCTACACAGGACCTGATGACTCAATACAGCACTCATAGACCTACACCTTACATGATTACTTAATACAGCACTTAATAGGCCTACACGGGACCTGTAGCCTGGATTTAAATCAGATCTCAAACATTTAAATTGCTAATCGCCGTGCTTCATACTTGAGCATGAGAGGCTAAGGGTGCGGGGGGGGGGGGTGTGGTGGTGGGGGGGGGTACCCACCCATGATGGAGGGCGGGTGACGTGGGTCGCACGAGGGCCGTTGTTCCGCTGCCCCCCACACCCTGCAGGCTGCTCTGGCTCCCAAAGGGGAAGGGATTGGTGAAGGGGGGGCTCCGTGCCCTTGCGGGCCCCCCAACGCGACTCGAGGTGGGACTGAACGGATCCTCATCATCCACCTGGGAGTACCTCTTTCTCCTGCAGTGGTCAGGGGTCACAGGCATGGTCATGGTCAGATTTGAGGGTCAGTTATTGCCAGGTCAGGGAGTCATAGTCGAAATTTTAGTCGTGCTTCTTGTTATGATCCATGAGCATTGGGGATTCGGGTTAATAATGAGTGATGGGAGGAAGAGCAAGGCTTTAGAGAAGAGGGTTGTGGGGTGAGAATATTTGGCAAACAGGCAGAGCAAATTTAACGATTCGTCACAATTAACGGTCACGATTCAATTACCTCTATTTTTTGTGAGATTTTTACGGTCTCATTCTTTTTTCCCGGTTGTACACTCGTCTGCACTGTTAGTGGAAATGTAATTGGAGCAAATGATTTGCACATGCTTTTGCGTGAACTATACATAATGGATTACTTGCACGCAAAATCCAATGCATCTATCATGTGAGTACTCCTATCTAGAATGGGAAGGTCAGTGTATGGTTCAGGGTTTGGTTTAGGTTTCAGAGTTGAGGTTAGTTTTTGGGGTCAGGGTTAGATTTAGGTTCAGGGTTATAGTCAAAGTCAGAGTTCGATTCAAGGTTAGGTTCAAGGTTAGAGTGAGGGTCAGGGTCAGGACTTATACATTGTAGTCACACTAGGTATGGGAGATTAAGAGTCAAGGTGAGCTTCAGGGTCAGGCATATGTATGTTGAACTTCTTTCGCACTTTACATAGCCAACAGTGCTAATTGGAGGAGCGGGAAGGGTTAGGTATAGAGTTAAGAGTCGGTTGTGGGTTTGCGGTGGTCATGTCAGCTGCGGAAAGACTGGTGTTAGACGTTGGGACCCCGCGTGCTTGTGTGTGTGCGCGAGTGGTACCTGCTGCGAGAGGGCTGGCTCGTGTGCGGGATGATGGCGATAAGCACGGTGAGCGAGCAGGCGCTCACGATGGAGAACACGCACAGCCACAGCACGCCCCTCACCCCGTCGTAGCAAACGCCCTGCAGCGCCTCCACCAGGTCCTAGGGGTCCACAGCGCACAAAGGTCGCGCTCTAAATGCCGGCGAGCTGGATTGTCGTCGGGTGGCTTCAACGGTCACGTCGTCGAGCAAGCACCGCCAATATCCTGGATTTGAGTTGCGGCTGTCAGCAAAACAGTGATTAAAACCTGGTCTCAGCCCGGTCGCCAATGACCACACGAAAGATAACCGTGGCAAATTCCCAACTGTGGTTGCGCGATGAACGTTAATGTCTGCACCAAAGGTCATTTCCAGTGACCTAAGAGGTAGCTCTGTGGTATCCGTGCTCTAACACGAAGGCTTGCATCACTTTGTGAGAATATCCGAACATGTGTTTGTGTAATGCTACCCAGAGCCCCCTCCCACCCCCCTTCCCACAAACCCCCGCCCTCCACCTGGTGTATGTTGTGGCAATCGACGAGCGCGGAGAGCTTCTGCAGTGCGAGGTCGGTCGAGTTGAGGTCATGCTGCAGTGCCAGCAGCTGGACCTGCGCGCATCCATCAAGGGGTTAGCAGCATTCACCGTCTCCATCATCAACGTCGTCGGCGATGATCTATCCACTGCTGCATGAAGGGTCTCCTTCACCGAGCTGTGGTCGTCGCTCTCGCGGTCCTGCGATGCGACGCTCCGTCGGGAGCGGGGGAGGCGTACTCTCTCTCGCGCATTTCCACCTTTGGCTGCCACTCCGTCGTTAAGCCTCGACCACCGGTCGCCATCCCTTCTCGTCATGACCGCGTGCTGCCCATGCCCACTTAACCCTTTCCCCATTCTGATGACGTACGTGTAAGTCATCAGAAAAACTCAAATAAAATAACTTTATCAGTACGTCTTCCGACCCGAAGACGTACCGAGGCTTCCACAAGGACATGCGGGAGGGGGGCGTGTGGCACAGTTTGGCACCAGCTATGCTAGAGAGTGCGGTCGTGTCGCTACAGTTCTCTGCGGTGAGAACAATGTTTTTCAAAACAACGGCGCTACGCTTCTCTAGATAAAATTAACGCTGAACCACTCGCGCATTTCCGAGATTCAGCGGTGAACGGGACACCCACCCCTGCAACTTGCAGACGTCTCAGAACGGGAAAGGGTGAGTCTACTTAACAATCATCGCGATTAGAGGAAAAGGAACACGTGGATTGGAGAGACGTCACCTCCTCCACCACCAAGAATATTACTGCAGGACTTAGCGCGTCCCCTTCCTCGTGTGGCGCACGTCGAATGTCAAATCCTGGGCGTGCGACGGTTGCATCTCCCTTCCCGTCAAGGACAATGGCTTGCAGTCTTCGGTTGTCACTTCACCTTAATGGATGGCATGATGAAGCGGGAAATCTGCAGCATCTTCTGGACGATGGACTGCATGTCGGAAATGGCACGCACGCTGGCTGTGACCTTCTGAAATGAAAATGTGGGAAGGAGAATTCAAGCAATTGTGAGGAAATTAGTTTATATATATACACCTCCATGTCTCTCCACATATAAATAATGTAATTTAGTCCATCAGCTGATCCGCTTTTCCAGACCAAAGTTATCAAGCAGGAAATCACTCGACTGGTTTCGACCCTCAGTCTCATCAGCGTCGCTCAAACAGGTTTGAGCAGTGGCACAGGCATTAGCGCGCTATGCGGCGGAATGGGCTATCCAAGTTAGATTCTTTGTCAAGGTTATGATCGATGGCAAGATCTGAAACTGGTCCTGGACCTCACCAAAGTAAACAGCATAGCGTGGCGAAGTATGGTCAAACAGTCCCTTCCACTGACATGGCATGGGGAGACAATCACACAGCAGTGGAATGACAAAGAGGCGGTAAACTATTATCAGGACCTTTATAAATAAAACTGTTATCTTTTGTGCTTTTCATGTACTCCAAGTTGGGCCAACGTTGGCCCAACGTTGCATATTTACTGGGTTGTTGATGCGTTTGTGGATTGGACCGCGCGGTGTTGTTCGGCACGATGTCCGACGTTTCGCTCCCATGGCACAACCCGAAAACACATTGGAGCCTGGACTGCACGACGGAAGAAAGCTACGCGGAAGTGCCGTGACGCCGTCACATTTCACAAGCCCGAGTTCAATGTTTTCATCGCGAGCCTCAGTGGTCAAGAGTTGCTAATTTACAATGTTCCAAATGTTGCTGCAGTGGAAGTCACAACGCTGCTGATATTTTTGGTTCTGGCAGTGGCGGAGCAGCGCCCCCACCGCCCCCCAACCCACGCACCTCGCCACCCCCCCGCCGCAAACCCAGCGTCTCAGTGTGGCACAGCAGGCCCCTTTTTTTGGAGTGAGAACAATTTGCGGTCCAGCTGTGCCTGGACGTTTTCCAATTATGCGTGGCAGGCAGGCAGTCTTGTGACCGTTTCAGTCGAAACTGTCTCTGCCAAGATAAGACGAAGCGGTACGTTTTGAGTGTCAGCGTCTTGTAAAAAAACCGAGACAGGAACTTCGTTTCAATTTCGTGGGCGCTACGGTGGTGAGATGCTCACTACCTCGCTTGGTAGAGGTCATAGGTTCGATCCCGACCCTGTCACCTATATATTTGCATGTTTTCCCTGTGATCGCGTGGATTTTTTATCCGGGTCCTTCGGGTTTTCCCTCCACATTTAGAAACATGCGTTTTTGAGTATTTGGCTACTATAAAATTCCACATAAGCCACTTCATTGAGCTATCATTTGTGGCCAGGTCGCTTCTGAAAACTAGCTACATAGCTCAGTGGGTCTTACCTGGTAAAATAAAAATAATTCATAGTTTAAATTTTGATTTAAAGCTTTCGTGACTGCAGTAATTCATATTCTTAGTTTTTTCGGTAAAGTCACGTGACTTTACCGAAAAAACTAAGAATATAGTTCATAGTTTAGTTTATAGTTTAACACATCACTGAATGTGGTGACATGGGCAGCAGGGGCTCTGTGGCACACCGCTCAGATGTGAAATGCTACGACATTTTTACAGTGCATGTTTTGTTTTGCAATCGCGCTTTCACAATGAGGAAGGGTAAACGGAGCAAGCCGCGGGGGTGACGGCGGCATGGGAGAGTGGAATTGTACGGGGTGGAGTGGGGTGGGGATTTCATACCTTGCACAAGGACCCTTGCCAACAACCACTCTATGCTACTAAACTTCACTGCAGCCTTGGTGGGGGCCGGGGAATTAAGGAGTTGCCTAAATGTGACCATCCACCACTCACGTGACATTGTATTGTATAGTACAGGTATATGCATTCTATTTATGCGTCTCTATGCGGGTCTGGGAGTCTCTATGCGAGCCTAACTGTGACTTCACGCACATCGCCTACCATTGCCCCACACATGCTTTTGCAGGAGGTACAAATTGAATCCACCTGGCGAGTCTAGATGGCCATCGAACAGCCTCTCGAAATTCAACACGCAGTTATCGGTCGTCTCTCATCACGCTAACACCTCTGCCTCTCGTCTACATACCTTCTGTTATATCGCTTGCCCTTCCGCCTTCAATGGAGGAAGGGCAAAACTCCATGAAGTTTCTCCTGAAGACCTCTCGTGTCCTGGGCAGGAGACCTCAACATTGGCATTAGCTCCTGAACATGCTGCCAATAGCATCATGGGCAAGAACAGAAACTAGGAGATAAATGAAAAAGGGGGGCAGCCCGCCTCCCCACTCCCCTCCCGTCTTCTGCCCCCCTCCGTCCCCATCCCCGTCAATAATGTATGTGCTCAGTGCTCCTGCTGGACCAGCACCACGGCAGGGGGGGGGGGGGGAGGGGGGGGGGGGTTTTTTAGGCATACCTCCTGCAAAGGGCCGGCCGAGGATGGCGAGCAGTAGACGTAGTACTCGACGACGTCTGGAGGAGATACGGCCAGAGGGAGGGGGCAGCGACGGTCAGCGCTCTCAAGGGGGCGGGGGCGGGGGCGGAGGGGGTACGTGGCGGAGCTCTAATAGGGAAAATGCTGTTGTCAATTTCCACCGCAATGTGACTCAAATAAATGTTCAACGGAGTAGTAGGAAGAGACACGGCTCAAGTAAAATGTGTAATTTTACGGAGGGGATGCAAGTTCACCGTAATGCTGGCAACGAAACACAGGCGGACAGGAGAGAAACAGCAACACTGAGGCACAGTCCAGGATGAAGCAACCGGGGAGCCCAGCACGAACAACAACCACCACCACCACCACCACGACGACAACAACAAAGAGCCCCAGGGACAGCCGGGGTGGCCGGAGTAGCACCACCGTTGAGTTCCAGGGCATAGTGGTGGCTCCTTCAGGCCAGGCCCATGGGTAGGGTTGCCACCTGTCCTGGGTTTCCCAGGATCGTGCTCTTGTTGTGGCAGCTGCTGTGATAGGAAATCTGTCAGTGTTCTCAAGATATTAAAAATCCTGGTTTGTGACTGTTGTGTAAAAATATTGATACTCCTGCACCACTCGAGAGGATGCAATCACATGCAGTTCTCCCCTCTTCTGGTTTTGTGAGATATTCTCCATTTTCTTCTTCATCCGCCCATGACATGTCCTGTTGTTTTTGAACCCCTGAGGTGGCATCCCTACCCATAGTTGCGGGCGGGGTGGGGGGGGAGGTGCATCCGGCACCCCAAGAGCCTACCAAACAGGCTCACCTTTGGGTGCCCTTCTTGATTCCTCCGTCTTGTTCACGATGTACTCTTGTGGGGACATGCAAAAGTCACTTGCAGCCTGAATGATACAAACAAGAAAGAAACATGCGACGATTAAATAAGTTGAGTATATGAGCGGATTCAAGTATTACGATATATAAAAATATATATATTTTAAAAGTGGGTAAAAAAAGCAGAGGGATTGGCCTCTGTCATAATAATATGGGATTTCCACCACTGGCTCTCGGCTGGCGATTGAGCGAGCACCACCCACATGCTCGTTAGATGATGACGCTTTGGCTTGACGTGTGCACGAGTGAGATCACAGAAGCATCTGACCGAATCGCCTAGAATGCGGTGGGGACCTCAAGCGATATTGGAAAGCCAAGCAAAGGTTCAGTCCAGATACTGTTCGGATGGGCGACGACCGTACACTACAGACGTTATAGAGGTCAGGGTTTGGGGGGGGGGTCTACATTGCGGGCAGCACGAGGCAGTGCAGGAAAAAATAATGTATCTTGTAAATGCCTCTCCCACATCTATGCCGCCCCCCCCCCTCCGCCCACCTTCACAACACCTACACTGAGCAGCTTGACAAAGTATAGCCAAATAAGGACCCACGACTTGCACGTCGTAGTTACTTAATACCGATCCATTGAATCGTCAACCATCTTACGCTTTTATGCGAGTGAAACGGAGGTTATACGAGACAAGTGGAAATTTGCTTATTTTTGTCAACCATAATCCTCGACGGCGCATGGCGCGTTTTTATACGGTGTTGGCTTGCTGCGCTGAACGTTCTTGCAATGCGCTCCGCCCCACTCACTTCCCATCACGTGAAACTCTGGTTATCCTTGCAGCGGCTTTTGGCTAGCCGTTGAACAAAGATGGTCACCGAATCGCGCGCTTTTTGATGTGCTTCTGTGGCCGTCTGGAACGCCCTTCCTTCCAATATTCGGAAGCCACTGACTGGGGCTTCGTAAATCTAGATTGAAAACTGCTTTTCGTGTTTTGTTTGTTGTCCTTCCCCCGCAGCTCTTGATTAGCACGGTTGGCTAAGTACGGTACGAAGTTAATTAACATACATCCGTTCCCGTCACAGTCAACATGATGTCTCCCTTAGGCACGTTTGTTCTGCGAGCCATGCATCCCTCTTTCTCTCGCTGTAAATTTTCCAAGAAAGGCGCAAAACACACCTCTTCCACGTTTTTTTGCGCACTTTTTAACTTTTATCTTTCCGTGCCGATGCTCACGTCCGTGATCCACGTCACAGCAGATGTATAGGCACCGATAAAAAATTAAATGGTTGGAGTGCTTCTGGAAAGCAAAACGGTTCTGGAAACCAAATGCTCGTAAGTTACGCGTCTGTACATGCAAAACTGGCTGCATGACGAAAACGTGGCGTTATTTGCGGCGACGCAGAGCCGTGCCACCAGCGTAACTCGGAGAGAGAAACGAGCTCTGCGGTGCAAAGGGTAAGAGGAACTAGAGCTCTGGCTCCCCAGCCAGATGCTTATCTTACTGGAGGGCTGCAGCAGCAAGATAACTGGCCGTTTTAAATATTTACATGTTTCAGCGATAAACACCCCCGAATTTGTTTTGCATTTCGGTCACTCTTTGCAAGTCAGACTATCCCTCGTGTCTCTTGAGTTCTCACCTGGCTTAAAATTTTTTTTTTACTTGAAACTATAAACATGACACCTAGAAAATGGGTTTTCATGGGCACTGCGCATTGGCTAACACAGGTTTTTTTTTTAGATCAACTGCACTCATGAAAAGTAAAACGATGGCACGATGCACGTGTTCCATATATATTTTTTACAAGATCCTGGCTTGGGTGGGTTATTATAAACATCAATATTGACGTTCAAGAAATGTAAGCGCAAGGCGTGGGGGCAGGACACATCGCAAGGAGGAAATTATGGCCGGTGGCTGAGACTAACGCCCAACGCGGAGCAATGAGACAAGCTCACGCGCGCAGGACGGATCATTGCCTCGCGAGACCGTGAGAGATGGCGACGGCTTGGGGAGGGGACATCATCCAGCAGTGGATAGATCATGGCTGCTGCTGCTGCCGATGGTGCCGCGTATTTTGCGCTAAGAGGTCGGACAATGTGGACGGGCTTGTCGCCAATTTGGGTGAACGCGAGCGAGGGTGTGCGGTATCTGGGGGAATGCCACCATCGTTGCCGTTTAGTCCCGCTTCTTTAACAGACACTTATTAGCGACACGCTGGTCACACCCGGGCGGAATCTTAATTAAGACGCCTCTGGGAAAATTCCCGTCGCCACAATACGGTGGCGCGCGCCCAGCTGTGCCCCGTCCCGACGACGTGAAACCTCGCTCTCGGGCCAACCCCCCTCCCCAGGACACGGTTCTGGAGAGAGCTGCAGAGCATAGAAGTACAGCAGAGCAATAGACATGGTCACCATGCCCACTGCAACACACCCGCATATAGCCCTATCGGCTATATGACAACCTGTTGAGCAAGATGGTCGCCCATCCAAGCACTGTGTGCACGTTCCGGGTGATTTGGTCACCGTCTATCCGAGTTTCACCCAGTACATCTGAATGTACTTGTGTCGCCTGCAAAGCGATACTTCTTACAGAGTTCTCCTTTGAATGTATTTTTTTGCGTGGATGCGTGACATGCATGGCTGGAGCAAAAACAAAAAAAGATAACCTTGGAGAAGGTCACGCTCTCAGCGTTGTCAGGCTGGTGGCCGAAACAGGTTGTGCAGCCCTGTTCGCAACCTCAGTCGCTCTCGCTAGGCATTGTGGGTTGCTCCCAGTGGCAATGACCGATTGTGTGCAACGGTGTTCATTAAGATGAAAGGACGATAACGATGGCTTCAGCAGAGCCGAGCTGGCCCGAGTGCTAACTCAGAAGCTAGTTCAAGCTTACTGAACTTAATCAAATGGGAACTCAAGAGATTGGGATAGTCGGAGCACAAGTTTGCTAGGAGGGTGCAAAGACTGCCAAGTTTCATCCTGATTGAGTAATTTGCGGTGCAATTTTCGAATTTTGGGAAATATGAGCCGTGACGCCGGCACACAATGGCGCCTACTCTTGCGAATGATGATGGGGGATCTTTAACGTCCACTGTGAAGCTGACGGCGCGTGGTATTATTGTGGTTATGACAACCGTGGTATTAATCAGGGCGCCCGCTAGATTCGAACCGTGAACCTCTGAAACAAGTGGCGAACGCGCTGCCGCTGGGTCGCGTAACCACTCTCCCTCCTTTCTGTCTGTGTCTGATGTTGGTGAGGAAGTGGGCAGCTGCAAGCAAGCGGCTCGACAAAACAGCCGCTCTTTCTGGCGTGTTTTCGGGTTTGTTGCCGCGCATCGTTCCGCACTAAGTCCCGACGTTTCGCTCCACATGCTGGAAGCTTCTCCGCGTCGAACACCGTGCCAAACGCCGCGCAGTAGCAACCCCGAAAACACGTCGGCCAATGGTATGGCACAACCGCTAAACCAGACAGTCACACGGGCAGGATGATAAACGCCGACGAGACACGACTCACCACGGCGCTGCTCATCTGCAGGCCCAGGGATCCCCAGGCCAGGATCAGCATAACCAATCCGGTGAGCACAAGCCTGCAAAAGACAAGGACAGAGATCCCCCATGTAGCCGACACAGAGTGCTGGGGGCAAGTAATGTTTGCGAGCGACTATTAAGGCCGGAACGACGCACGAGGCGGTGGCATGACCAGCACCACGCCTGGTCACCTTCGGCTCTCCGGTGTTGATGCATTGCACAAGGCACAAGGTACTCATTAAGCCACAGTAGACCTAGGGGATAGTGCTTGGATGGGTGACCACCATGTACATGCATGCCAGGTTATCATAGGCTGTGGCGGCGCTGGGCAATGTGGTGATCAGCAAAGGTCAGTGCAGCAAAACCCATTGTTGTACTGTGCTTCTATGCAACCGCCACGTTTACCAAAAGTATTTTTTCATTTTATTTTATTTTTCTACCTATGTGACTTTACCGAAAGAACCAAACAGTATGTATAAAAGTAGCTTATCCAAAACACTACAAATGGCCGTGGACACACACACACACGCAAAATTTAGTTGTCACCGGCATATGCCGAAACACCAAAACGTTTGCCGAGGTCAACACTATTGCTGCGCCGAAAGCAGGACTAAACCCGCTCTGCATCTGAGACTACGGACAGATGGCGACACGCGGCGAGGTGTGCGAGGTGCTCAGAATGGAATAGCTGCCCGTGGTGTGTGGGGGGGGGGGATGTGTAAGGACAAGGGGGTGGGGGTGTGTGGATTTCCTCTGCGAGTGCACGTCTCGAAATGCGACAACTCCACGCACCGCACATGGCCCGTCGTTCGGGGCCTGAAATGGCTGGCCGATCAGATCGTCCGTTTTCGTCACTGGGGGCAAATCGACAGCCCAGGGCAAAAACCTCCGGCCTAGCTCCGCGGCACGAGCCGACGTGCATCTTGGTTGTTTCTTTCTTGCAGCAGTGATTTTGCTGCACCGTCCACCGAGACCCCCACCGCATGGCCCCCGGTGGTTTCCAACCCCAGGGTCCATCCCAGAGGCGGCGTCTAAATAAGCATTCCTTTACGGGCCCCACTGTCGTAGCGTTCCAATTGGTGCGGTGTAAAGAGTGCGGCACAGTGAAGTTCACTCTTGACCAAATGCTTTACAGCCTACGCCGAAATATGACCATTTGCAGCCCTTCATCAATCCACTGCTGGATGAAGGCCGGACAAGGGGGGGGAGGTTGTTGTTTGGTCATACTTCACCACGCTAGTCAGTGCGGGTTGCTGTAGCCGCGACTTGGACTTAAAAGTCGAGTCGCAAGATTCATCGCACGGTGTGCTCCCCGCTGCGCCGCCACTTCACCCCGCACCACTTCATTCACACGACTTAATTTAGTTCCTCAAATCATGCAAAGGGCAGCAGGGGAATTATTTGATTGTGACCTTTTGCACAAATGTGTTTTTAAAAGCAATAAATAATAACGTAACATTTTTAAACAACACTTATGACTTACTGATGATCTGGGCACTTTTTGACGTTACATCTTTAAAAAAAAATTCATTTTGCTGGGTGGCTGAACCGCAACTGTAATGAACTTGCCAAGCTTCACGGCAATAATCCCCCGTTTCACCCGCGGCGGCGGCGGCGGCGGCGATGTCGTCGTCGTCGCCGCGGTCGTCGTAGGTCGGCACAAACGTCCCTCGTGTCGAATCGGCGGTTTGTGCGGCCCCAAGACGGGGGAGACGCTTACGTACGCGAGTGGGCGGCCGACGCTTTATCTCCACTTCCCCTCGCCCGTGACCACGGCAACAATAACCACAGAGTGGCCACGTTCAGGAATCGATTTGCCGCACGGACGCGAGCGTTCCGAGCTCACTGCTCCGCGAACAGACGCAAATTAAACTAGGGAAGGGGCGTTTTCTGCACATCCCCACGCAAACTATTAAAACTAAACCATTCTTATTTTACCAGGTAAGACACACTGAACTTAATAGCTCTCTTTCAGAAACGACCTGGCCACAAATGTGGAAATTTATAGCAGCCATATACTATAAACGCCTGTTTCTAAATGTAGAAGAGAAAACCGGAGGACCTGGAGAAAAATCCACACGACCACGGGGAGAGAGACATGCAAACTCCAAATAAAACGTGTCCGTGTGGCCACGACTGTTGCTGTAAAACCTTGTGGGGCGGGGGTTGGAAATTCTCGCTCAGTGTCGACAAAGTGAAATGAAACTGTGGCAGTGCAAAACAAAGCATTGTTTTTTTTTGCTGACTGAAAAAAAACAAGGTGCATTGGTCCTCGAGATGTGCACCACGTGGAGAATGGGTAAAGATGCAGCCCTGAAAGTTGCTCGCTCACACGGCACTGCTGGTGGATGGGTCTCTCCACTCGAAGCAGCTTTAGAGAGCCGCTCTAAAGGGGTATTTTATCTAAACTTCCCACGCTGGCCACTACATCTTGGAAGGTGTAAAATTATGATATAGCTGCATATTAACACTCCATGGGAACAAGGCCATGTGTGCTTATATCCAAAGTAGTGGGTTTATATCAGACGTTCCCCCTTGCCTCCCCCTTCCAGGATAATTTAAGAATGCGTTTCTTATATCAGAGTTGTGCTTATATAAGTTGTGCGTAAATACAGCTTTTACTGTAATATATGGGTCTCTATGCGAGTCTATGGGTCTCTGCACGAGTCTGTGTATCGGCATGCATATGCAGGGCAATCATTTCTCACCAAATCGTTTCTGGGTGGTCATTAGACCAGAGGGGGGCCGGGGGCATGCGACTAGCCTGCCAAAGCCACGGCCACGATGAGAGGTATACTGGATGTGGAGCGCCGGGCGTGTGCGTACCCGACAAGCAGGCAGCGTGAGCGCTTGGCCAGTCCCAGCAGCACGAGCAGGCAGAGCAGCAGCTGCACGATCAGCAGCAGCAGATACGCGAGCCACCTGACACCGGCACGACATCACCACAAATATACGCATCGAAAAATCAGCTCAAGCCTCCCGTAAATCACGTCACTTCGGTGTGGCGACACACATCCTGAATCGTTCCCCTCTCCCCCGCCGCCCTCTGTGAAAACAGACGCTGCTCCCTCCACAGCAGCAGCTAACTTCTGCACGCTCATTCCTTCTCTCTCTTCCCTCCCCACTCATCATCACCCTTGCCTCCACGACATTCGCCCGGTCATTCCTTCTCTCCTTCCTCCCCCCTGGCACTCCTTTATTCCCAGCATTCATTGTCTGTTGTGGGGACTTCCGTCACGGCATCCCTTCACCGTTCCTTTATCTTTTCCCATGAATCACATCCTTGACTCTACTCCCGGTTGCCACAGGTAAAAGGGTTTCTATCGTGTAAAATCATTGCACGTACACGGTGACATCCTGGTAATCGAATGATCAAATGCATCGATTAATCCTCCCTGCTCTGATTTATAACTGGTTTTGTTTGGGTGAGATCGTGTAGGTATGATCAAAACGTTTTAACCATAACCCTCGACCACCCAACAGAGCCAAACATGCCAAATTACTTGGTTAAAGAAATTTCAACGATTTTCAACTCAGCTCTGCTAGCGTGATGGTACGAGAACAACGACGACGCCACCGACGCTTCCACTCACCGGTAAAACTCGGCAGACACCACGAGATCGTGAAACTTCCGGATCTCCTTCGATCCCGCGGTCGGGTCGGTCCAGAAAGAGATTCCGACGAGCTGCGCCACGGCCACCTTGAGCTGTTCCCTGGCCTGGACGACGAGCCCCGAGAGGTTGGCGTACGGGATGGCCCTCTCCAACGCGGCGAGGTCATCCGTCACGCTGCCGTCCAGCTGCCCCTCCGTGCCCTGCACCTGCGGACAGGACGTGGGGCGGATGCGAAATTTGGCCGGATGGCACCACCGCAAAAGGACGGCGGGGGTCGGGGGGTGGCGGCGGCGGCGGGCGGCGCGGCGAGGAGGGCGGCGGTGGAGTCGTAAAAATGGGCACGGCAAGCGGGGTGGGCGCGGCAGCAGTATCGTGCCGTCACATGCGGTGAAAGCGCGATACGTAGCATGGATATGCGTGCGTGTGATACGTAGCACGGGTATAGGTCCATGTGTGATACGTAGCGCGGTTATAGGTGCATGTGTGATACGTTGCACGGGTATATGGACGTGTGATACGTAGCACAGGTATATGAGCGTGTGTAATACATAAGCATGAAAACTATAAGCAGGCCTCCTTTCTGTGTCTCCATGTATAAATAAGTTTTAGTCATTGGCCTATTGAATATTCAGATAATATTCATCTGGAAAGGCCAATGGATAGATGGCTATTAAATATTGTATTTACATGCGGAGACATAGAGCAGAGTTCTGCTTGTATGTGCATTTACACGTATAATAACGCTGCACAACGACACATCATGATATTTAACAAAGAGGGCTCAGTGCAACAAGGCTTCACGGTAAAGCCACGCGCTCTGTGCAAAGTGTACACAGGGGCACAAATTGCCATACCTAAACAAGTTATCACGAGTTCTGGCACATGCTGCGTGCTGTGTTCAGCGGTAAGCCACATTAGCCACTGCCTGGTTGCGTAACACACATTGTGTGTTTTGTGTTTTTGTGTCCACGTCATGTACAGTTTTGAGTAACAAGCGAAGCGGAAATTCAACTCGCGGTGCGTGGGTCTAGCAACCGGCCGCAGAATGCTGGGATATGTCTGGGTATGTACTGGTGCATGGATGCATCGACCAAAATACATTCTAGTAACTGCCCGACGATGCTGGTTGTAACCACCAGCGTAACGCTCGTATCCAATTGTTAAATGTGTGTGGATCGCAATCCAACATGAACTGCTGAAGTGGTAATAAATTGGAGAGTTTTATTGTGTTGTAGGTTTAGTTATATCCGACTCATGTGTGAAAGTTCAGACCTCCATTTTGTGCCTATAAAAATACAAACATCTGTTTATTCCGTCGTCTTATTGGCTTTCCAGACCAATAATATCCAGCGGCATTCATTTTAAACAAGTGAAACTCTGCACTGTTTTTGACCTTCTGGGTCCCATCAGTATAGTCAGCCTTGAACAAATTTCTGTTGAATTACCATATGTTATTGACAAGAGCCACTCCTTCTCAACAACGGGACACTGTTCATGGTGAAAAGTGATGCGAGAGATGCATTTTGTTCTACTGGCATCAGACAACAACGACGTGGTTCGGAATTTTGTAACGACGCAGAAATTAATTTGCTTACAAACTTCTGGTGAGAACGCGGCCACCGAGAACCGAACGTACGCGCCGGCGCAAACTCTGTGGTGGAAGCGCACGAAAGATGGAAGAGAGCTTAACAAAGTGGACGGAGTACGGGAAGGAATTCAACGGATGCAACACGCCGCTCTGGGCGCTCCTACCAGAAGGGTCACTTTGGAGATGGTCTGGTTGACCCGCGCCAGCGAGCCGGACAGCTGACTGACGCCGAAGTGCGCCTCTCCGTTCCCGTAAAATCCCACAGCGATGGCCGCGCTGCGTACGGCAAGATACGCGCACACACACGCGTGCGCACGCAAACATGGAGGGTGGGGGACGGTTTCAAATATCGTCAATAACGTGCGCGCTTGGGCAAAGGCGAAGAGAGGGAGTGATGATCGCAGGAGTCAACCGTGGTCATGAGATGGCGTCAAAGTGGCGTCAAAGTCACCTCCAGGCTTCAAGTTAAATAACAGTGATAAGTAACCCTACGGTTAGGGATCGTGAACCCACCCAGGCTTTTTGTAATCTTGGTCAAGACCAACACGCTAACTGCCAACATACTTACCAGGTATGAGAAAAGAAAAACGCCCCACTGCAAGCTGGGTGGTTAAACTACTACAGGGCGAAGAGGGGTTAAAAAAATACCTAGAATTCTGACCCCAGTACAGAATTCTCTGGCGGGAGGACAGGTCAAAATACTCTTACATTGGTGCACAGTGCAAAGCTAGCGGAGGGCCCGCCAAAGGGTTTCTAGAGGCACCGGGAAAAATGTCAGATGAGGCCCTCATTGACACCCCATCGACTTTCATAAGGTCCTCCTCAGATACGAGGTGCAGGTCAAAGCACCCCACCCGCCACCCCCATCGCTCGGCAGTCCTGGCGAGTGGAGACATTTATCTTGGCACCAGTCTCTAAGCTGGCTGAGCAACTATAAAGCTGGCATCGGCGATGGCAATATTTACAGTCGCGCATACGGCCGCGGATAAAGCATTTTTTTTAACTGGGGAAAATGACATGCCATAAAAAACGACTGCTCCTGTAAACACAACATTTACCACATCTAGAGTGACGGTAATTACACCGGGAAGTGAAATTCTACACGGGGCCTTGGCAGATTGTAAAGTTGAGCCCTGTGGTCTCTATTAAACGCCTGCATGCCAGAGCTTGTACCGAGTCAGCGGTCAGGTTTCCCTGTAATTCAGAAAGCTAATGTACCGTATTCTCCAGATTATGACGCACCATTCCCCTCTGTATTTTAAAGCAAGAGTTGGGGGTGTGTATTATAATCCAGTAGGTGTGCGTGTGTGTATGCACGTGACCAGAGTTGTATAACTTTATTGACATCGGGCAAACATGTTTTTTTAATCCGGAGAATACGCTAGTTGTCACCAAATCCACCAAGTGTCCGGAAACCACATCACCACCATCGTCATCATAACCATTTACTTATTTATTGTTGACACTGTACCCTGCACAAGCATAAAAACAATGCCCCAAACTGCCAACGGAGAAGCACAACATCGCAGAAGCAGGCAGAAGCACACATGAACGTAGAAACACAAACTTTGCATACAATGGATGCGGCAGGGATGTTAACGGTTAGGAAACTGCACTTGCAATCCATAGGTTGCCAATTCGATTTGCAAGTGCAGCAGTAGAAACAATGGTGCCAAAATCTCAATTCCGCCACCCTCTCGCCACCAAGCCCATTCCACCTCTGGTACCTTTGTCCACCCAGAAGTATAAATGGGCATGCCAGTCAGTTGATCGACAGGTCACGTGTGGTGGTGTTACAAGTGGGTACTCCCACCTCATACAAGACGTCTAGGCCAGCATTGAATGAGGCCAAAATATCCTCTCTGGAGGGAGGGGCTCTGTAAATTAATTGTACGCTTGTCTGTCTGTATGACTGTCTGATTGTGCAACTATTTGCGCAACTGTCTAATTGTGTCACCGTTTGATTTAGTCATTGTCTGATTCATTAAGCCCTCTTATTTCATGACTATCTCATTCCCCAATTGACTGGACGATTCACCAATTCTCCGATTGAGTAACCATCCAATTCCCCGATTTGACTGGGCGACTCCCCGGTTCCCCCGATCGTTCTATCGACGGGCCCGAGTGAGCGACAGATAACGCGACGGCGCCCGCTCACCAACAGATGACGGCGCAGGTGGTGACGCAGCACGTGGCTTTGCGCGACGGATCGCTCTTGAGGTGCGACGCCCCGCGGCAGCACAACACCATGAAGTGCACGGCGAGGAAGAGCAGCGTGAGCAGAAGGCAGCCGCCCGCCAGGCACAGCAGCAACAGCAGCGCCTGCCACAGCAAGCACGCAACAGACGGAGTCAGCTGACAGTCAACGTTCCGCACGTCCCACAAGCCAGTGTCCTCGACACCAGCACTTGCTGTCGTCATTGTCGTTTTTGTTATCATTGCAATCACCCAAACTACCATCACCAGTATATTAATCTAGCATCATTACCGTCATCGCCTATGTTATTGTCGTCACTTTCATAATCATCATTACCATCATCATGATTGTCATATCACCGTGATCATTGTTAATGAAGTACTGTCGTTATCAACGTAACCAACCAAATTACCATCAGAAATTCATCTTCACTATCATGTTCATCGATATCAGTCATTGCCACCACTGTTATAGTCATTGTTATCATCGTCGCCATCATCACATTGATCACAACCATCGTCATCATCACGTTGAGCATCATCATAGGAGGGAGGTGGGGGGGATGGGGGACCCAGGAGGGAGTGTGAATTGTCCACACCCATGACCCACACATCCAAGACATTCCATTCCACCACCAACAACAACCTCCAACACAACTGTCTAGGCTCTACTACTACCCAGACATCTCCACTGGGCACAAAGCCTCAGGGATTAGCTAACAAGATCCACATAATGAATGATTCACCAGCCCACCACCCAGCAGACTCTCACGGTTCAGGCTGATGAGTCGAGGTCGCAGAGCCATATTACTTGTGTTGTTTTTAACCTTCTTTCGTGTTGTTTAACATTAATTCTGTGCTTCGACCAAACTTAGCATTGTCACATTTGCACATGTACAGCCCTTTTGTCAGTCCACTGCTAGAGGAGGGCCTCCTCACGCCACGCAGGTCATTGCAGGTTATTTGACCATACTTCACCACGCAGGTCAGTGTGGGTTGGCGAAGGTGGAGGACATAAAAACGGTGGAGCATAGAAGTGCAGTCCAACAATAGATGTACCTGCTCTGCTGCCAAGCACTTGGCTCCAAGGCTGGCTGTATGTAACATCTTGTATTGTGCACGACGGTTACCTTCCAAAGTCTGACGAGATTGGCGCATTCCAGGTTGCTCACTTCATTACGACAGGGCTACGCTACTGTTTCCAAACGGAACACTGTACAACTTTGAAGTTGCAAGGTGGAGCGGTGGTTAGCACACTGTGCTAATGAACTCGGCAACCCAAATTCGGATTCCGGCCACAGCTAACGTCAGTGAAAACTCATAAAACATGGAACTTTTGGGCCAACATTGGGCCAACGTTTCCAACCACATGCCCAAAGCTGGCCCAATGTTGGAATGTCTACTAAGGGGGCAGTATCTTAACTGTTCATGCAACTATATTTCTGCCCCCTTCCCCTTCACTGACCAAACAACCCCGATTAAACCGATACAAAGCAGGATAGTTTTACCATCCACCAAGTATTTGACAAATCGCTGTAAATTATGAGTCCCGTAGTATGTGTGCTTCTGCTAAGTTATCTTCCAAATGCAGGTCCATGGCTCGAATTCTCTCAACAAAACTCGACACCATCTGAGTTCTCGAGTCGTGACGAGGTAGTGAGATGGCTTCCCCTTTGCCTTAACTCAGCAGTGTTGTGTTTTATAGCCGTCACCGTAGTTTCAGATGGCCTGTTCGCTTGTTAACATTGCACTGTCTGGCTACAATGGACGGAAAGCGCCCGAGGGGATGGACGCCATGCAGATGGCAGTGGATCACGACTGATGATTTCCGGATGCCCAGGACAAATATCATAAAAAGTATACATTGTTAACTATTTTTTTTATTTTAGCATGTAAGCCCACTAAGCTATATGCAGTAGCTACTTTCAGAAGTGACCTGTCCACTAATGATAGCCGAACGCAGTGGCTTATCATCATATGGAAATGTATAGCAGCCGAATACTCTAAACGCGCGATGTCGATTCTAAATGTGGAGGGGGAAAACCGGAGGACCGGGAGAGAAATCCACACGACCACGGAGAGAACACGCAAACTCCAATTATACAGCAGGCGTCAGGGAGTCGGCTAACACAAGTCAACACCCTACTGTTATGTTAGCCGACTGTGTTGCATTGTATTATATTTCTAAGTTTACTAGGTTTGTTTTCGCTTTCATTTGTACCTGATGATTGCTTGTGGTGTTGCAATCGAAACGTTGTATGCTATTATTTAAGAACCAAAGACTAATTCCTGCAGTCACGAAAGCTTCAAATCAACTCTGAAAGGATTGGCGTTCAAGATATGGCGGTACATGTTTCTTGAATCAATCCGTGCGGAGCTTTGAGTGCGTCATTCCTTCCTATCCGTGGTGGGTTTGGACAAACAATCCCAATGCAGCAAAACTCGAGACTCCAAGTGGGGTGCTTTAGAGACATGCGTTTCGTGTATTTGGCTGCTAGAGATGTACACGTGATCAGCCACTTCGTTGACCTATCCATTCGTGGTAGCCAGGTCGCGTCTGATAAAGAGCTCAGTGGGCCTTACCTGGTAAAATAAAAAAAAGTTAATTCACAGTTAAATAGTTGTTCGTAGATGCACGGCTTTTACTGTATTCTTTTCTTTTTAGCAACGATTCATCTTGAATGGCGCACTCTCACATTAGATCTTGGAAGCTGAGCACAGGACTGCGCCCCCGGATAGTGATGGAATGGGCGATTGTCACCAAGCATGAACAGTTGTTGTTCTAGTTTGTGCAGCTCTACCCGGTGAACAGAGAGGGCAATGAAGGGAAATTAAAAAAATAATACCCCGTGTTCACCAACCAGCGCCAATAAACCAACGTGGTGAAGTATGGCCAAATGGTCGTGGCCGCTCTACCAGCGCCAATTTTTTTTTTGCGGCAGCTTTTAATAAATGGACAGTGTAATTGCGTACAGTGCTCGCGTTGGCACGGTGCGTTATGATTATTATTATTAGCACGGTGAGTTATGATTATTATTATTAGCACGCCGCGCTATGAACTCGGCCAAACACGAGTTCGGTTCCCGGCCACGGCGAGTGATAGCCGAACCGATTCTGGACACCACCACCACCACCCACACCACTTAAACCAACCCGCGCACGGAGTAGCGTGGGGGAAGTATGGTCAACAACGCCCAGGGCCCCAAATATTGAGAGATGCGACCGGCAAAATGCCTCTCCGTGCCCCGCACACCACATCCATTCACTCACACCCCGTCTCGACTAACGGCGAGTTAACTACGGCCTTACTTGGCGGGCGGGGGGGGGGCAACTCGAGCCTAAGGAACAAACAAACATCGAGACACGAAAGCTCCCTCCCCCACCACCACCACCCCCCCAAAACAACAGCCGAACACAACCTGTTGGTAGTCGTGGCTGTCCGGAGCGAAGTCGGACGAGACGATGGCGAACTTGAAATTCAGGTGGGGGAAGCCGTGGAGCCACGAGACCCACCAGGGCACCGTGTATTCCGCGGAGGACATCCCGACGGACGGACGCAGGAGGATGTGGTGGTGGAGGAGGTGGTGGAGGATGTGATGGTGGAGGTGGAGGAGGATGTGGTGGTGGAGGAGGTGGTGGAGGTGAAGGTGGTGGAGGTGGAGGTAGCAGGGTAACGACGATAGCCGGCGGCAGCCGCAGCCGTTACCAACAACGACGAAGGACGCACGGGCGGATTCGCAGGGCGGATGGGCAGGGAGAGTGGGGAGAGAGAAGATGAAGCCAAGGTGCAGGCACGGAGTCGGAAAGATGGTGAACGACGAACGAATGGGGGTGAGAGAGTGGGGGGATCGGCCAGAGAGGGGGGGGGAGGACAGACAAGGTGAGGCGAGACGAGCGAAGAGACGCAGACCTACGGCTTTGGCGCTTGTTAATCGCCTCAGAATGGTCCCAAACTTCGTCTCATCCTTAAAGACGTGTGGTGCGTGTGAGTGAGGGTGGGTGGGGTGTGGGGGGTTGTCTCCGTTTCCGTGTGCTCGGCCGATGTCCGGCGCTGTGCTGCTGGGCCTGGTGGTGGTGGTGGCGGCGGCTCGGGCAGGGCCGCGGCTTTGTGTGGCTGCTGCCTGAGGCGGATGTGAGACGGGGCAAAGCCAAACCCCGGTGACGGCGCGCCGGGGATGCTTGTTTCGCTTCGCACAAGAAAGTTCGCCTCCGCGAATGACATCACGCCCCTCCCCCCACCCCCTCCACCCCTCCCCTCACCCCCTAGACCCCTCCCCTCACCCCCTTCACCCCTCCCCTCACCCCCTCCACCCCTCTCCTCACCCCCTAGACCCCTCCCCCCACCCCCTAGACCCCTCCCCTCACCCCCTAGACCCCTCCCCCCACCTCTCCACCCCTCCCCTCACCCCCTAGACCCCTCCCCTAACCCCCTAGACCCCTCCCCCCACCCCCCTTGACCCCTCCCCTCACCCCCTAGACCCCTCTACTCACCCACTAGACCCCTCCCCCCACCCCCTAGATCCCTCCCCCCACCCCTCCACCCCTCCCCTCACTCTCTAGACCCCTCCCCCCCACCCCCCTCCAACCCTCCCCCCACCCCCCTCCACCCCTCCCCCCCACCTCCCCCCTCCTCCACCTACACCCCTACACCTCCTCCCCTTCACCCCCCCCTCTACACCTCCCTATCCATCCCCCCTCCACCCCCGTTCCTGGAATTCAACTCGCGCCTCCTGCTGGCCAGGGATCGGCGGCTTCGTCAGCAGGCAAACTCTAAAAGCTGGGATTACTCTACCGGTGAGTAATCCGATAACGCCGCCTTAATTCTCACCCCCCACCCAGTCCTCTTATAAGACCACGAACGAGCCCGCCCCCCCAACCCCAAATCCCACTCATGGCACTTAGACAACGCTATTGGCGTGTATGATTATTCGAAGGTGTTGATCAAACTCAGAATCTTTTTTTTTAAGACGCGAGGAACCCGATGAGTTACGGCGAAGCTCGTTTTTTCACTGCAGTTGAGATTCTCTCACTCGAGCGCATTTCCCCTCCCCCCACCACCCCCCCTTCCTTTGGCTGCCGCTCCGTTCTTAGTCTCGGCCACTGGCCCATCATTGCTTCCATCGACGGTGTCCTTTACCAAGCACACCGTGGACGCAAGGATCGGTGGATCACCGCACACACATTGTGAGACTCCCCGTGTGTGCGTGCATCGCGGTGCCATGCCCTGTCCTCGCCAGGAGAAAGCGGCACAGCGAGTGGCCTAATCGCCATCTGTTTCCATCCGCACGGGGATTGAGTGTTGCCCCCTCGCGCGCGTGGGTTTGTCCACGGGTGCTCCGGTTTCCTTCCGCGTGTGTAAACACACCCGTCATTAATTGGCTGAAAACATCTTCAACAAAAAAACCCCCTAATGCAGAGTCCACCTAAGAAGAAGAGTCATCCCGACTCTGTGCGTGCGTGCACTCATCTAGCTTGAAAAACGTCATTCCAATTGTTGCACGGGAGATGTTAACTCTTGCAAGGAGGAATTTCCTCCGTGCCAGTTATATTGCCTGGAGGCAGTTTTGGCCAAGAGCCAAACACCATCGTTTGCTGCAGCTACAAAACGGTGGCAGCTGCTGCTGATGCTGCTGCCGCTGGGTTATTCGTAAGTCTACAGACGAGATTACGTGGTGCGACAGCGGCACTCGCTGCACCACAGGACCACACGTGTTGGGGGTGCCACTGATACAATCCAGGCGTTTCGCTGCTGAATCTTGATCGAGTTCACGGTGCAGTGTAGTGTGATGACACCATTAGCCCTGCAGGAGACTGCTGAGCACTTCGTTAGTAATTATCCTACGGTGGTAGCGCGCTCAGATAATGCCCCCTCTACGACCCGATACGGCGTGGGGAGGCCTTCATCCAGCAGATGATTGGCACGAGGGCCTGTGCCAATTAAGAACTCGATGCGGGTTAATTCGACGTTGAGTGTTCGGGCTTCGTTAACGAGCGACTCTCAGGCCCTTGAGCTGGGGCGACTGCCAGTGTGAATCATCAGCAGGCACGATAGATCCACTGCTGGATGGATGCCTCCCCCCCCCCCCCAAAGCCGTCGCCGTATCTTGCGCGTCCTGCGGTCCAAACATCCACATGACGCTCGCGCACCAACTGCTGATTGCATCGCTCCATCACTGGCACGTGCGGACGTCTTCTCAGGCGTATTCCCTCAATTTAAAGAACGTGCCGCACTTGTCCACTCAATCGTATGTGCAGGCTCACACATTCTCTGCGCGTCATTGTGGTAAACCAATGGATATTGCAGGGTTGAATGAGCTCTACTCCCCTGTGTTATCACGTGTCATGTATGCACTGCATGTTGAACTTCTTTCGCACCGTACGTAGCCAGCCGTGCTAATTAGAGGTGCAGTGTTGAGTCTATGGGCAGTAGGTATGTATGCTGAACTTCTTTCGCACCGTACGTAGCCAACCGTGCTAAGCGGAGGTGCGGGGGAAGAACAACTACACACTAAACACAAACATCTGTCATGCACAAGACTAAGGAATCACCATTAAATCTCTACAGCTAGCAGTGAAAGCTCCCTGTGTCAGACACTGGCACCGGGATAATGAACAGAACGACTTCTGGAGCCACTGCGAAAGTCTTGCTACCTGCATTGACCTTGAACCTACCTCCATTGACCTTGCATCTGAATTGACCTTGCACCTCCATTGACCTTGCACCTACTTGTGTTGACCTTGCACCTCCATTGACCTTGCACCTGTATTGACCTTGCACCTCCATTGACCTTGCCCCTGCATTGACCTTGCACCTGCATTGACCTTGCACCTCCATTGACCTTGTACCTGCATTGACCTTGCCCCTGCATTGACCTTGCACCTGTGTTGACCTTGCCCCTGCTTTGAACTTGCTACCTATATTGACCTTGCACCTGCCTTGACCTTGCACCTGTGTTGACCTTGCCCCTGCATTGATCTTGCTACCTGTATTGACCTTGCACCTGCCTTGACCTTGCCCCTGTATTGACCTCGTCCCTGCATTGACCTTGCCCCTGCATTGATCTTGCACCTGTGTTGACCTTGCCCCTGCATTGATCTTGCTACCTGTATTGACCTTGCACCTGCCTTGACCTTGCCCCTGTATTGACCTTGTCCCTGCGTTGACCTTGCACATGTGTTGACCTTGCCCCTGCATTGATCTTGCTACCTGCATTGACCTTGCACCTGCCTTGACCTTGCCCCTGTATTGACCTTGTCCCTGCATTGACCTTGCACCTGTGTTGACCTTGCCCCTGCATTGACCTTGCTACCTGTATTTACCTTGCCCCTGTATTGACCTTGCACCTCCATTGACCTTGCACAGTCCTTTTGTTAATCCACACTGTTGCATGAGATCCTCAATACCCACCGTGCGAGTCGTGGGGGTTGCAGGGGTCGTTTGACCATACTTCACCATGCTGGTTAGTGCACGTTGGTGAAGAGGGGTTCTTGGGACCGCTTCAGATATCAATCACCACTGGTTTTTGTCTGTGGCCTCGGATAGAACTCAGGGCGCTCCTTCCTTTAGCTACAGAGTGGTCCAGATGTCTCGTGACCTCCCCCAATTGATTGACCCTCAAACATGTTTCCCTTTGCTTATTCATTTACGTTTGCACACCCATTGGTATTCAAATAAATTAAGTTTTCTAGAATTAAATGGGGGTGAAAAGACATCTGGACAACCCTGTATATGAGGACACACATATTGTATTCCCTGGAAAGGGTTTTCGTCCATTCCATTCAAATATATACAGTAATTCTCAGAACTGGGATTTATCCAAATTAGGTGAAAAAACCCCACAAATTTAACACGATGTATTTTGTGTGTGTGTGTGCAATAATTGTAACAGGGATGAGAACAACATAAACTCGCGAGACTTGAGCACCCGGTTTAATGAGTGATACACACAAACAACTGGGTACTCTGAGCAACATTGCCCTTTATTTAACCACGTGTATAAAATCCACATTCTTGTATTCAACGATTTACACATCAGTGCTTTTATAGTCTCACATACCGGGTATTAGTTTAAACAAGCTTCTTAAACCTCTTCATACAAAAGTACTAATTCATAATGGAAGCAAAAAAAACAATGAATATGTTTACAATAATGCAGTGCGTAGTACCTACGCGCATATGATATGGTTACAACATAGTACGTTGATTAACATTGACATAGTAAATGTAAATTTAATTATACATATTTTTACACATAAACTACGTATGGAGGTCTGCCTGCAACCCAAGTTTCCCATTCCTGCTTGTCGTACACGTTTAAGTTAAGTTACAACCACTTATCTATCCACTGTTGGATGAAAGTGGTCATGGGCGGTGTTTGACCATACCATGGTTAGTGTGGGCTGGTTGGTGGTGCTTGGTTGGGGCGTCGGGGGAATAGTGGGTTGCCCAGGACCAGTTCAGGTATTGCTCGCCACTCATGTTAGCCTTGGCCCGGAATTGAACTCAGGTTCACTGGGTTCGTCGCGTTCGGTCGTAACCACTATTGTCGTGACTGTAGTGATATCAGGGATGATGATACAAATAATAATTCCGAAAGAGTCTTGAGAGTTTAAAGGGGTTGGGTCCTGCCATGGGATGTTCGGCTGAGTCCTGTTTATTGATAAGTTTTTGTTTCCTTAATATAGTGGAAGGCATTTGGAAAGTTGACCTAAATAATCGACCGGGATTAGAAACCATGTGATCAGCTTTTCGGCCCGGTGCCGAAGTAATTGAGCCCCAGATTGAGGGTACATACGTATAATTCAGTAATTAACCATGCTGTGGTTTTTGCAAGAAAAAAGTGTGGCATCCTACCAATAAAAAAATGCGTGTATACTTGCATGTGTATTTTTTTAGTATCTATATGTATTAACGGGTGGAGCGGTGGCGCAGTGGTTAGCGCACTGCACAAAAAAAAAACAGACGATCAGGAGTTCAATTCCCGGCCTCGGTTATAACGCCAGTGGTGGCAAGCGGTATCTGGACTGGACCTTGGCTCCTCCAGGTCGACTCAGCCTTAAATGAGTACCTGGTATGATGTGAAACGTCCGCACCGGGAAAACAAAGACGACCGGAGCACGGTTCTGGCTAAACCGTCCCATTGTGGCGCCGTTCAGACCTTCATAGACGCTCGCCAGCATCATTTGACCCAGCAGTCTGCATGGTTATATGGGGGATCTTTGCGTATGTATTGTGTATATGAGGCTACAATAGCAGATGAATATACTGTATTGTTTAAAAATTATGACTAATGCCTCCCGTTAACCTGTCAACACACATATAGAGAGAGGGCATCACAAACATTTTGAGCAATTGCCTGAATCATTGTCATTATTTCTGCTTAAAAATATATTCGATGCTTTAACAGATGGCATTCATCATAGTGAAAAAGCCATTTATATGGGGGAGAACTCATTTACGGTAAACGTGTGTGCCCTTCATGAAGGAAAGTATGAGTACTGCAAAACAAAGTGGCCACGCGAAATCTGACGAACTGCAATGCCATCCTCTCAACCAGCTGCAGGGTAACCTGCAGTCCACGGGCTGGAAGCGACCCACGACTTCCTATCGTACGGCCCCGCGGCCCATACAAGCAGCCGAGTAACTTGGGGCTCTCCAATCACTTCCTCGTCTGGATGATGCCATTGCGTCACATTTGGCCATGATTGATCGTTGAACGGAGGCGTGGAGAAATATGATTGAGCAACTATTTGGATATATTTTTTCATCGTTAAATTTCACTAGAGTTAGGTGTGTGCTGTTTCTCCTCGCACCCCCAATGAGCACGGTTGGCTACGTACGGTGCGAAAGAAGTTCAACATACATGCATTCTCTGAGTGGGACATCTTGGCGAATATTAATTAAGTTTGATTGGGGCCAAGGGCCTGTACAGTTGTTGAGAGGGCCCTTCGTTGTATATTCAATTCCTTCCCATGACTGTTTTACCAGCACACATGCGCAATGTCAAACACCCAATTAGTATTCACCGTGGTTATTTCAGTTCTGTCTCTGAGTTTTGCGAATTGTTGTAAAGGTATAAATGAAAGTAAAAAAAATATTTAAATTCTGACCATAGCCAGTCGTAATTCACATTGTTATTCTTCGGCTTTAATTTACTTATTTACCTGGAAAATTTACCGTAACATATTTCGTTTCAACCATCTTAAAGCAGTACTGGACAAATTATTTGGAGGGCCTCAAAATCCTAAGGTCCCACATTGCAACTCCTAAAGCCGCCCTGCATTAATCCGGCCCTGTAGGACGAGGATTACCACTTCTATACAGCCCTCAAACCATGGTTATCCATCACTGCAAGAAACCTAAGCCACACTAATTGGATACTAGAGGGGGGTTAATTTCAGCATCTCTGTGTGACATATCCTTTCTCAAATACATGACAATTGTGGCCTTCCATCCATCTAGTTCCCAGTATCAGATACTCCCAATTGCATACAATTATTTAAATTGCTTATCTACTTAATTCGCTTTCTTCCCCAGCTCCGTGTACCAATAATTGTCCTAGTCAGAATGTTATATCCAGTCTCGAACATCTTTCTCAAGCACTTTTGTTGTTGTCCTTGTTGCTTATAGTTTGCTTCGTAGAGTCTTTGTAATTATCCAGTTTACAGCATAGCATACATGGTCACATTCAGTCACTGTCGGGGCCTCTCGTAGTGACTGGAGTGACTGAGCATGTGTGTTAACGTGCGTCCCCACTATAAGTTAAATGTTTCCCCACCTCTGATGTACACGCTGCTGATCAACACGTATACAGAACGCACGTTGTTAATAAGAATAAGTCAAAGCTTGCTGTATAGGGTGGTGCTTAAGTCCTGCTTTTGCTCGATACATTTCTGATTTTGGCACCAACAAGGCACCCAGCATTTACAAAGAACGGTAATGTTCAGGCGCTTCTCAATCCACTGCTGGATGAGGCCTACCCATGCTGTGTCGGTCGTGGGGGTTGCTTGACCATAATTCGCCAGTAACGGGTTGGTGAGTCGCAGACGGGAATTGAACGCGGGTGGGCAGATTCACAGTGCAGTGTGCTAACCACTGCACCGCCGCTCCTCAATAATATAATAATGAGAATAGAGACTCAGCTTCCTAAATACTTTCATGAATTAACAAAAAAACAATATAAATACCTGTATTACGACTTGCTCATTGTAAATTGTTATGGCTATACACAATTTGGGCTCTTTACATATCAAGGACAGGAGTAATGGTTTGAGAAGAGCATACATTCTCAACCTTTGAGAATACCTATAAAGAAACCTGTTAATATACACAGTAGTGCAATATGATTTCGTTATGGTCTAAACAGTCATCATCATTATCAGCCATGATCCATCTGCTGCTGGATGAAGGCCTCCCCAAGCAATTGCCATCTTTCACCGTGGCGTTCATCCTCTCAGGCGTTAAGTAGACGCGTGACGATCCATATATTAATCGATTATTATATACTTATATAGTCACGATATACACCGCATTTAATCCATTGTGTGCGGGACAGAACAGTATCATGGTTATTTTTGTTCTATATATTTTTCGATTCACGTGGTGATGTATGGCATGGGTTCACCTCACCGCCTATAGTCACTAAAGGCCGCTAAGTTCACAGCAATTTCACAAAAATAATCGATTCCTAAATCTAATCGCAACCCTGAATGACGATAATTATATTGCATGGTGTGTGAATATTAAGGCATTTGCTCTGTTGTTGTATTTCATTAACAACTCACATGTAGCTCGACTTCAATTAAACCAAAACGGAATGTAATTTTTTTATCTCATCAGGAAAATAAAAGTTTAACTGCTACGCACATGCATTTAATACATCCTGTATATTTGAAGCCACAAAATTCTAATAATATTCATGACAAATAATAATTTTCATTGCAACAATTTAAATTTGTAGTTCCATTGACCAAACCGGTCAATATTTTAACGACACAACACACATGCAGCCTCGAATCGTCTTTGTCTTCACCGAGTCTCTTCAGTAAGGCGTGGCCCGGCCAATAAATGCATTGCTTGCCAACACTAGCACACATGCTATTCGGAAGTTTCAGTGAATTGAGTCGGGGTGTTTCCATCCCCCAAGATTCAGATCAGATATGGGGGGCAAACACCCGCACGGCGCGTGACTGGTTTCACCCTCCGGGGCTCCAGCCCTCCGGGTCCCTCACGGCCAACTCCCTTCTCAGTCCCAAACCTTGGAGGTGATGATCAGCCTGTTGCTCCTGCAGCCATGAGGACACAGGCCTCCCCCCTTGGCCTCCTCTGCCAGCTGGGCATGAAGTCCTTGTTGTTGTCCTTCTCCCGCAACTCCAATTAGTATGGTTAACTACGTACGGTGCAGAAAAAGTTCAACATACGTACAAATCCGATTCGGAGCGGCTACTCTGCTGGGTCGGGCCTCTGGGAAGTGAGCCGCGTGGCCACTAAACGGCCGCAACTGGCGTCTTCCCCAAACAGGCACAAGCGGCGTCTCAGCCCGGTCTCCAGAAGCAGTCGACGGTTTGATAGAAAAATCATGAACCCGCCCGTAACCCCAGGATCCTGCGCGGGGAGACCTGTAATGATGGCGTTGAGCCTTTCGGTGCCTTAGTTCGTGCCCATGACCTCCGCCACCGCACAGCAGCGCGTGTAACACCAGGGCACTGAACACCCTGCACCTTTGTCCTTCTGCTCAGGTAACATGCATTAAAAAGACTAAAACAGCTCTGATCTTGCGGCTCATACACCAAGACTGCATAACAAGCTTCCTGAGTGACAAAACCGACCGTAAAGTTACGGGCAGCAGCGGTATGATGGCACGTGAGTGAAGTCACTTATTTTCAAATGAATTTAGGTCCATAATGATGGGCCCATCATTTAAATTAAAGGAAGCTTTAAACTCTTGTGGGACAGCCTAAGGTGTACATCTACAAGGTGAGAGCTGTTTGTTTTTATTGGTGGGGGAGGGGGTGGTCGAATCTCCCTTTAATGTGGCACCGTACCCCTATGTCCATATTGCACGAAGGCAGGGCTAAATATCAGTCCTGGTTGGTGACTAGGTAGTGATGTTTTCTTTGCACCCGGCACACAACATCCAGTTCACCGTACCTCGCTATGGCTGTGGCTATGATAATCAACGGTGCACCACCTGCAGTCTATCAGCGACTGGCTACATATTCAGTTGAGAAATTAAGCCATGCTCACAACGGTGCAAGTGTCTTACATGCCCCATAAATTTGTCCACCCAGCAGTACAAATGGATACACCATGGATAAACGATCGGCAGGTCCCTGTGTGCTGTTAGGGTAAAGTGTGGATACTTCGAATTCTTGCAAGACATCTGGGCAGCGTGAAAGAGTAGGCCAAATACCTTCTAAAGCCAAGGAGGGGGAGGGTGGGGGGGGAAGCTGTGTTTCATTACAGTCCCATCTTAGTGGAGGTCCTTCCACCAGCCAGCAGTGGCATGAGCAAGCGATTGCAAGATCTGCGCCGACAGGCTTCGCTCAAAAGGGCAGAATCTCGTCGTCCTCCAGGTAGGACCCAAACGGGTGGTGGTGGTGGTGGTGGTGCAGGGAGGCAACGAACGGCATGGTGGGGAGCGCGGCAGGGAGCGTGGCTGGGCGTTTCTCGCTCGCCGCAACGGCCCACGCGCCACCGTCACCCTCGCCGTCACCCTGGGACGCCGCGTCGTCGGCCAGCGTGGCGCTGCTGCCGCCGCCGCTGCTGCTGCTGGCGCTGGAACTCCGCGAGCCGCCCCGGCTGCTCCCGCCCCGCCCCGGCGTCACGGCGGGGGCCGCGGCGGCGGCGACGACGTCGAAGCCCGGAGCCGCCGCGCCTCCTTCTTCCGAGCCCATCACTCCCAGGACGTCGCCCAGCATGGAGGGCCCCAGGTCCACGTGGAACGACATGACGGACTCGGCGTGCTTGAGCGCGGGGATGGAGTGCGCGAGCGCCTGGTCGCGGCGGTCGAACAGCAGTTCCTGGCCGCCCATGGCGCCGTTCGGACGAGCGATCGCTTTGTCCCCGCCGCTGCCGCCGCCACCGCCGGAGTAAGGGCTGAACCCTGCCGTGACCCCGGCGATTGAGCCCACAGGGGCCAAAGAGGCCCGGACGGGTCCCGGAGAGCGGCTCGCCCGCTCTCCGTCAGGCGGCGAGATGCACTGCACCTGTAACGGAGCATACCGAGGCATTGGTTAGTGCATTCATATCGATGATTTGGTTTTAATTGTTTTTTCCCCCCCTCCTGCTCACTGAGCCTCCTGCAGCTCACGGCAGTGGTGGGTGTCTTCACACCGATTATTGCGATCTCCTTGATATAAGTCTGTTGTTAATTATGTCTTTCCTCTCAAACGTATCATGATTATGCTGTCGGTGTCACGTGACTATGAATCCATTCGAAACTCTTTCCAGAGGAGTGAAAACTTCCTTGATATATAACGGCACCATGGACGTGAATGTCACAGAGCTCCCTCTAATATCCCTTCAAGTGACCTCTGGTCCACACGGTTGGGGGCAGCCCTCTCCCATCCACTCTGCTGCTGAGTGTAATGTTCATCGTATTGATAGTGAAACCGATATTTGAATTCACAGTGCTAGAATTTACCCAAATTCAGTGCTGAGACCATCAACTCACTACTATTCTTGAGAACTTGGTTTAATCGCAGGTTGCTGCTTGGGTTCCAACCCTCGGCGGTGTGAGCTCAGAGGTCTGACCTCTGAGCCACCCATCCACCTCACCAATGCAGAACCTCAAACTGTATTTTATCAACAAGGCAGCAGCTTACACTGTCAAGTGGCTCAATGACACGGTATTCTCGAGTCTCAATGAGAAGAGGCTTGTGCACGAACCTTGCATTGAGTGTCTGCCCAGGATTATCTCTAGCTCCATTTTAGCAATTCCCTCACGGCCAGAAACAGTTAAAAGCAGGTGTGTGCTCACACAACACAGCAGGAAGGCATGCCTCCCACAATGCCTTGTGTGCAGGTCATGTGACCACCACATTGCATGTAGAACGCTCTCAGCCTTGTCTGGACCTTCCAACTCAAAAGAGCTGAAAGTGTGGCCATGAGCCAACAGCCTGCTCCTGCAATGTGGATTTGCAGCAGTCACCCGTGCCTACAGCTCGCACTGGCAACTTCGCAAAGGGGTGCCCCAGCACAACAACAATGTGTCTGTGATTAAATAACGAGCTCGTGAAATCTCGGCGGCTAAGGAGGGTTGAGCCACGCCAGTGTTCCGAATGGGTTAATTGTCAAACCGATATTTAAGGATACGACACGAGACCGACAGTGCGATCACGATTCAAATTTGACTAAAGCAAGAGACAAGGGAAAAATGTACCCCGACTCTTAAGTGAACTTCTTCCATCTCGTATTTACCGCCATGAATGGGCCTGACAAGAGGATATCACAGAACCACTTCTGAGATACATTCAAGCGCCCCATCCATTCAACCGGACAGCTCCACCGCCCGAAGCACTCCGCCCACCTCCATCTCGCTCCGCGACAGCAGCTGCGAGGCGCCAACGGGGGAGCTCGGCGTAGAGGCGGAGTACGAGGTGGAGGCCGAGGAGGACGGTGACGAGGGGAGCGGAACGGCGACGAAAGACGAAGTCGACGTGGACGACAGGCGAGCCGAGCGTCCCACCGAGAGGCTGCGCTTGCTGGCGCGTAGCGTGCGGGCCAGGAGGCTCTCCCTGCCCGCCGGGGGCGGCGACTCCCCGCGGCGGTACCTGGGACTCTCGGGGGGGGGTCTCTCGCGCAGGAACGACGTGTCCCCGAACGCGTCGCCGCCGCGACCCACGTGCATCGTGTGACGGAAATCTCCGAGCGGGGCGCTGATCATTTCCCTCGTGATCTCCAGCCGAGGTCGCCTCCTGCCCATCCTCGAGTCGGGTGAGCCCGGGGAGAAGTGTTTGCTGATCGGCATTGTCCGGAAAGCCAGGGTTGACCGATTGGACGATGGATACGTATAGGTGTATACGTGGGCGCGTAAGGAAAGGAGGCTCCGCTTATACCGCGGGCATGGTGTTGTGGACACCCGAGTGGGGGAAGCTGACGACGCGGGGCGCTCACGAGAACGCACTTGCCCTAACAGCCCGTTGCAGGCTGCGCGGGAGAGAATCTTTGCCTTTGTGTTGACTGTGGAGGAGGGCTCGTGGAATGCGCTCCTGTTTGACAGTTGAGTTCAGAGGCCTTCCAGCGACGGCGGACCGGTGGAGTAGCAACGCTCACACCAACGGGCGGAGCGCCGGGCGGTTAAAATGCAACGAGGTGGCACAGGCGGTTCATCTGCCAGTCATCTCCGTTCAATTGTTTTTTTTGCTTGATTTAAATTTACACATCCGTCCGGTTAATAATGGATTTGCAGTTGCCGTTCAATTTATATTTTAGTTGTTTCTTCAACTTTCAGTTGCTGAATCGCGTTCACAACGCGCATTCCTTTTTGTGGAGCAGACAACACAAACGGGTTCTCTTTAAATCAGATGTCCTCTGTGACTTCGTCAATGCAGAGAGACGGAAGAGGTTCTGGCCCCAGTTGCAGGGAACCTCCACGAGAGGGCGCTCCCGTGTCGCTTACAGGAGGTCGCAGGCGACGGGGGTTGAACGCAAATTCAGTCTCATCACGGGCGACTTGTCTGTGAGCAACACCACTGCACACAACGACAACAACAATAACAACAATAACAACATGAGTGAGATTCCGTGGAGTCACGCGCCCTTGGCACCAGGCGTAGTTTCAGACACAGGTACAAAGACAAATATACCCCCCCCCCCGTGTAGCCTAAGCAGACTGCTGGGGCAAGTGTTGTTAGCGAGCACCTATGAAGGCCGGCACGGTACACGAGGTTGGCCAGCACCACGCTCGACCGCCTTTGTCTCCCTATAGTGGCGACGTTTACACACCGCACCAGGAACTAATTTGAGGCTGAGTCGACCTAGGGGTAGGCGCCAGGACAGGTTCAGGTAATCGTCACCGATGTTGGCCGTGAGATTGAACCCACGACCTCCTGTAGAACCAGGCGAGGGAGATGACATCTCGCCACCGCGGCGAAATTCCGTCCGCACGTTCGTGTGTTGTTAATCGGTGCATCCATTCCTAACATTCCGCTGAAAACGGTTAACGGTTCTTGACTTTCATTGCCGGTTCTTATTATTCTGTGCGTTGCCCATGATGAGCTAAATTCCAACGGCAAAGTCTGCGAGCCACGAGAGGGCTTCATGAGAGTTCGTTGTTTTGCTGCTGCTGCTCCTCAGTTCACAGCCGTTTTGCTATATGTTCCACGTAAGCGGTTTATCGGTTACGGTTTTTTTTTTGTTAGCACTTATCGCTTAACAACCAGAGTTTGTTTTCAATTACGCGAATTGTGGTGACAGCACAAATAACGAATGCACTTCGTCAACAACACCGTGGACTTAATAACAATAAAATACAAAACCGTTTACAACAGGTACATTTTCGAGCAATGACCCTTCGTCGCAACACGTAGCGAGGCCATGGAGGGTGGGTTTATATTAAACACCTGGTGTTATTGACAGCGGTGGCAGCTCGGCGCTTTCTCTTTCTCTCTCTCTCTGGCCTCCTAGTCACTCGGCCACACGTTGAGCATGTATACACGTACCTGTCAAACCCCTTATCAGTGCCCGACCTTATTACAGACCAATTCAGACCTCATCGGTCACCCCGTACCCTTATACATCTCAACGTTCATCCCACAAAGTCTCACCACAAGGGAGAAACACAAACAAATTGACAAAAAAAAGTTTCTTGCCCGCAAACGAAATTTCCCTGTACATGAATACGGAGTAAAAACCATATGGGTTGACACGGTATGTATACATTAAAAATTCTATATTGATCAAGGGTTGATCGCGGTCACGCTATGGTGACACACCCTGTCGCCCCGCGCACACGTGGGGCACCTCGCCCACGGGCACCTTGCCAGTCGTGACTTTACCCCCCCCCCCCCCCAGGGCTGTGTAATGTGTGTGATTAGAGCTGCAGGCGGCGCACGCACATCGCGTGATTAGCTCCAGCCAAGTGCCAGCAAACATACGCGCGGACGAAGCGCGCGCGTCTATTTACGAGCGGGACCCCTCCACCTACGTATGACATCAAAAGTGTAAGGGCCTACCTGGGTATACGCATTACCTTTAATGGTTGCGGCGTACTGTCAATAGCTGGGGCGGTGGTAGCTACGCACGCGGCCCGTAAAAAACAGCGCTGTGGTGGCAACGGAGGGGGGTGGAGATCTCATCAATGTCGCGAAACTCCCTTTCGCGTGTGCCCGGAGGTTGCCATAACCCTGACTCGCCAGTAGGAGGCAGTGCAGCAAACGTGTGGGCACCGTAATAGTGGCGTTTTGGGGCCAGATTCGTCCTCGGCAAGGGAAGTAATTTACCATTTTTACCGGGTAAAAGGATAAAGGTATTGATCATGCCGAGGGGTAAGGTAAAGGGTAGGGTAAAGGTAGCGCGAAGTATTATCCGGTAAATACCTTGTTTACCGCTCGCTAAAAGCTCCGTGGCACAGTCCGTGGCCTCCAATTTAAATTGCAATCATCGATAGTATTCTATATGAATAAAGCGCTCTACCTAGCATTTACCTGTTATAAACCATTTTCATGTGTAGTACCCCAGTAATTACCCTGTAATCGGGTAATTTGTATGGGGTAAGGGTAAAAGGTAGGATAAAGGTAGACTCGTTGCTTTTGACCTTTTACCTTACCTTGCTAAAGGGTAAAAGGTAAGGGTAGAGTGATTGTATTGTGGTAAGGTAAAAGGTAGGGTAAATATGGGCTCGTTGTTTTTACTTTTTACCTTGCCGAGGCCTAGGCCCGACACAGCCAATTAGTAAGGTTTGTCACGTAAATAAAACACACCAATTCGTTACTAGTACAGCGTTACCAGCGCGTTGGGGAGTTAAAAACACAATATTTACAATTGTCGGGTGGTGGCGGGTTTAACGACACATATATACTTACGCGATCTAACTAAAAAAAAAATCTCTATTGTGGATAATATTGGTCGCGAAAGCCTACTTGTTAAACTGACTAACCTACATGGACTCCGCTCGTTGCGTCTCGCACGCGTGGATTTTCTCGGGGTGCTCCGGTTTCCAACAACAACAACCACCGCCCTTCGCCTACTAAGTGGCCACGACGTCACCACGGCGCTTGTATGTGACTGTACGTTGAACTTCTTTCGCACCACACGTAGCCAACCGCGCTAATCGGAGGTGCGCGGGGGAAGGACAACAACACTGAACACAAAAAGAAATGAGTTTTCCGATCTAGATTCAAAAGTTCATAGCTCCAGTGTCTTCCTAATATCGGAAGGAAGAGCATTCCAGACGGCCGCAGAAGCACATCTGAAAGCACGTGATGCGGTGATCGCCCTTGTTCGATGGTCAGCCAAAAGCCGCTGCCATGCCAGGTGCACTTTGAGGCCACGTGAAGTGTCGAAGGTCCCGTTGGCAAGGAGGTCACGGAACAGACCCATGTGCCCATGGGTTGACTCACTGAGATGACTGGCAGATGCACCAACAGCGCTCCGCACTGTGCCAACTCTCTGCGTTTTAATCTTCCCATATGTAACCACACATTAGTTGGCCGATAATCCCTTAACATATAGAGGACCGCAGAGCTTTGGAGATTGTTTGGCGCCGGCTGACCGCGCGGCTGCCTTTCTGCTTGTTCTGCGGTTCCTCGCGCCTCTTGAGCAATTCTTTCTCCGCGAGAGGGAGCGAATACTTGACAACAATTATAAATGCTACTTTTCTAAAAGGAAAAAAAAAACCCGTATGTACAATCGGAGACGTTTCTGGCCATGCCTCTTATTCATAGCAGAGAGAATGGAAAGCGGTGCGCAGAGCCGTGTGCAATTGTAAGGGCCATGACCTGCAACGTCGCCCATGATGTACATTTTTTTGTATTTTAGGGCGGTGTTATTGACGAATGTGTGGAGTTTGTTTGCTATGTGTGCTTGTGCATCACTGCCAACGCAGCGTCTCCATGTGTTTTTGTGTCTTTGTATTGTTGCGTGGGGGTTATTATTTTTTGGCGAAGGAGTTTGGGCTGTGCAGTTCTCCAAATGTGTTTTTCGGGTCGCAACGCCTGTGGAGTTTTAGGCGGACCCGACGTTTCGTTCCACGTGAAACAAGCGTCTTCCGTTCGCTAGGTACGTAAGTAAGCTAGCAAAGTTTGGAGTTTTTTTTGTTTTAAGTTCCTCAGTTCCCGAAGACGCTCCCGGTAAGTGAAACGAAACGTTTGGGCATCATACCGAACTATACGCGGTACAACTCAAACACACACCAGAGAGCTGACGACCTTAATTGTGCATAAATCTACCCTAAAAATGTAAACATTTAAAAAAATCAATACACTCTTGGATGAATGCCTCTCCCCCCCCCCCCCCCCCCCCCACGTCGTATCGATCAGAGGGGTTGTTTGGTAAAGAAAGGATAAGGAAGAACGTGGTGGTGGTGGGGCAAGGACCGGTTCACATATCACTCCATCACTCGCCACCGATGTCAGCCGTGGCGCAGTGCGCGTGGCGCTGCGCGCCAACCACTGCGCCACCGCTCCCTCCCTATACCGAATGTAATGGGGCCGCAATCTGTTACGCTCCCTGCGCGCGCTCTCTCTCTCTCTGCATAGAGAGTAGCAGATTACACGCCGAGGCTATTGGAGTTCTCGCAATCTCTCTCAACATCTTGTTTGGTACACACGTAACATTTTTCGCCCCCTATCAATGGCGCTAATCTACTCCCATCTCTCTCTCTATCGCTCTGCTTCATGCGTTGCCCGGCAGTGTCTTTGGTTAGAGCAGAGATTACAGAAGTTGTTGGTACATGGAGAGAGATGAGATGCGGGGGCGTGGGGGGGGGGGCATCACGGTGGGGGAGGGGGATTGTGGTCATAGGGGCGCGGCATGGTGTAACGTTGGTTGTGACAGTGATATGACTTCCAACCAGCACCAACAGATCGTGGCTGATGATCTAATAACTTTCACTCCGCGAGACCATTGGTAGCGATTCATGGGTAAAAATCCATGCGGTTAACGCGATGTGAATCTAATTGACTATTTATGATGTATGCAAACGATATTCTGAACGTTTACGACCAAACTACCCCTGAATGCGCCAGATCTCGGAAGCTAAGCAGGCTGCAACCTGCCTAGCGCTTGGATGGACCAACCCTCGTCCCGACAGGGGCTACAGGCTGCTGCGGGGATTCGTGGTTGAGCAGCCATAGGGGGAGTGCAGCAGAGCGGTACACTCGTTGTACTGTAGTTGTATGCTCCCAGGTGTGTGCTCCACAGCCCCCACGATCCGCACAGATACATACAATGGATAGATAGGCCGATGTATGTTTAACTTATTTCGCATCGTACGTAGCCAACCGTGCTGAATGGAGGTGCGATGGGGAAGGGCAGCAAACTAACGGATGGATAGATACGTGGATGGAAGGATATACGGATGGGTAGATGTATGGGTAGATTGGTGGATGAGTAGATGGGGCGATGTACGAGCAGATTGGTGCATAGATGGATCGCTGTACACGCGGTGTTTGGGGAGGCCCCTCGATCCAGCTCGTGGAGTGACATCTGGGCTGCACGTGCGCACAGGACGCTGTCGGGTGACGTGTAACTCATCTGAGGGCCCGCAGATGGAGCCACAGCCACACGGCTCTTTTCGCTTTCGGCTAAAGCGACTTGACGGTTGCTCGCGCAGGGGGGGGGGCATTTGGTTTCGTGGGCAGTAAATTCCCGAGGGGTATTGGGGGAGGAGGGGGAGCTAAGGCTACACATCTCATTTGCGTCTGTTAACTTTGTTTCCCATTGCCTATTCCTACCGAGTTGCATGCTGCCGGGGTGGTAATGGCTAAGCACAATGGATTTGACATCCAGAGGTCGCCGGTTTGATCCGAATTGAAACAATGGTGCAAGTTTCTTAACCGCCGTAGCCACGCGCGTCTCTGACCACCGAGCGATTTGAAATGGTACCCCAAAGATGGTCGGTAAACAGGTCGTGCGTGGTGGGGTAGAATGTGGGGACTCCCACCTCTTCCCAAACGTCTGGCGATCGTTGGAGAGTGGGCCAAATAACCTCCAGATGGGCTTTGTAGAGGTCCCTTCAGCCAGGAGGGGCGAGAGCCTCCAATTGCAGCCCTGCACCTTTACCTAAAACTGAGTTAATTCCGATCCATTGGCATTCGAGACTCGCGCAAGGGTCCCTCGACGTCCTGTTGTCAGTTACCAACTCGTGCCACTCCAAACCCCCCACTCTGGCGCAGTTGTTTTTTGCCCTGGTTTATATTTGCTTCATTGCTGTATTTAAATCCATCGTGTTCTTCTTGTTTGTCATTTTGTTGGCTCAGATCTCTCCTAATAAAGATACTCTCTCCTGGTCTCTTGACGTCTCCCCCGGATAAAACAAAATAAACTTGAAACTGCTCATACAAAACTTTGTCATCATCATCATCATCATCATCCATGGTTAATACACAGCTGGATAAGGTAGGTCCTCCCCACGCTGGTCGCCGTGGTGGATAATTATTTGACCAAACACTTCGCCACGTTGCTCCGTACGGTTCTTATGAAGATGGGAAACACGGACGCTGCAACGTAGAAGTAGAGTACAACACTTGCCGCACTGCCCCCTGCTGCTCCGCCCCACGCAGCACTCGCAGCTTCTAACGCGTTGCTAATTAAATCACTGCGGGCTCGTGATGTGTGTAAGTAGAAACGCACATGTTCGCAACAACCCACGCTGGAAAGTACATCAAATAATGCTCACCCATAATATAGAGCCTTTTGTCAAATGCAATGCAGGGTAAAGAGGGCTGCCCACGCCGCGTCAGTCACGTGAGTTATTTGACCATACTTCCCCACGCTGGGCAGTGCAGGTTTGTTGAAGGAAGAAGACATCCCAGAACTTACTGGTTCGGGTTATCACTCGCCACTAATGTTAGTCGTGGAGAGGAATCAAACTTGGGTTGTCGGGTTCATAGCGCACAGCGAAAATCACTGTGCCACCGCTCCGTCCCCAATAGTAACAATTCAGTAAAATGAGTCTAATCTTGATCTGATATGTCTACTTTTCTAAAGTGCGTTAATGATATAAAAAAATATCTTCCCCACATCAGCACCTTTTCAGACATACTATATACATATTCTTACACACACACACACGTACGATTGAAAAGTTCTTGATAACAAAAACGCATGGCAAACTTTTGCTGGCAGCTTACTCACGTGGTGGACGGGCGCCTTGTTCGTTGGTGTCGTTTTGCGTTGCGTCGGTTGGTGTGAGACACGACAGTGCAGAGTCCACCGCGTTTAACAACTCGGCATTAAAAGCTCAAGAGTCCGTGGCACAATCGCAAAGAGGAGCTGTCACGCGCGCAACGCAACGCGAGTTCGTGGCGTGCATCTCCGCTCACTCACTTACCGAGTCGAGCCCGGGGTGGATGGGCCGGGCCCGACCGGGCTGGGTTGGGTTGGGTCCGGTTCCAAGACCCTCCCTTTCTTTCTCGTCTACTTCTTCCTCCTCCTCCTCCCGTGGTCTCGTCACCCACCCCGAGCCCACGGGGCCCGTGACGCACGCGGCGCTGCCTTAGTGAACCCGTGTGAACGCGCTGCCGGGAGGCGCGGAATCTCGGTTCTGAGTGCGCGCGATGTCGATACCTGGGACGCGTGGCGGTCGCAAAGCAAAGCGGTGTTCTCAGTCTAACACGTGGGAGGCTTTCGCGACCAATATCATCCATAATAGAGGGGATTTTTTTTTACACGACGCTTCGATCGCGACACAAGCGGTCGTCCGCTTGTGTTGCGATCGAAACGTAGTGGTTTTTGTTATTTTCTTTGAACCTAGCTACGTGGCTTTACCGAAAGATCCAAATAATAGGAATTCCTGCAGTCACGAAAGCTTTAAGTCATGAGGGGTTTTTTGTTGTTGTTAAATCGCGTAAATATATAAATGTGTCGTTAAAACCCACCACCACCCGACACAGCCAACTAGTAAGGGTTGTCACGTAAACAGAACATGCCAATTCGTCACTAGTACAGCACACCGGTGTGTTGAAAAGCCAAACCACAATATAATGCATAATGTACGTTGCCTCAGTAATCTACGCCTCTATATAAGGAACGAAACAGTAAGACTTCTCCACAAATGTGTCTATCGCCCGATAAAGCTAGTTGTAATTACTGGCGAAACGTCGTACTCTGATTGTAAATGTTGTGGCTTGGCTCTCCAACACACCGGCGTGCTGTACTAGTGACGAATTGGCCACGTTCTGTTTAGGTGACAACCCCAACTAGTTGGCTGTGTCGGGTGGTGACAGGTTTTAACGACACATTTATATATTTACGCGATCTAACCCAAAACAACCTCCACTATGGATGACCGCAGTGTGTTCTCCCTGCTTGACCGAGCAATGCGTGCGGCGCCACTCTCCTTCGGCGGCCCCGAGTGTTTACTGCAATGGTTGGCGGAACAGCTTGAACGCATCGGATCGCCTTTGGCAGAATTGGTCCCTTGATGGCGTTGATGGAGATGTATCGGCACGTTTTCGCCGAAATAAATCGGATGAAATGTTACATTGGTCACCTTGTGCATCGTACCCTAGGTGTCACCATCAGACACGATCAATCCTCCGCTGGATGAAGACCTTGGTGCATTTAATAATAATAATGTAATGTGTTTTATGCAGAAGGAGAGCAGTGACGTAGTGGTCCGCGCACTGCGTTACGCATCCGGCGAGTTCGATTCCTGGCCACGGCTCAGCGTCAGCGGGGAGTGATATCTGAACCCGTTCTACGCTCTCCCGATCACCAACCCGCACCTGCTCAGCGTGGCGAAGTATGGCGAAACAACCCCACGACCGCGACACGGCGTGGGTACGTGCCTTAGTTCGGCAGTAAAACGACAAAGTTGTCGTGCGTTGTACGCTGCGCGAGCGGTGGCGTAGCGGTTAGCGCAGCGCGCCATGAACCCGGCGGCCCTGAGATCGATTTTCGAGTCGTGGCCGGGTCGCCCGGATACACAGCGCGCGGTGCGTTCACTGCTCCGCGCCACCGCTCCCCCGCAATTTACATTCGGGATTCTCCAACTGCATCGCCCGCCTCTGTTCACCGCCCATCATCTGCTTGACCCCCGACCCAGTTTTTGATGTGTACGCTCGGGCTAATGACACTTAATTACACGGGCACAGTGAGTGGCTCTTAGGTGGACACGGGCCCTGGGGGAGTACCCTCTCTGCGCACCAAAGTGAAAGATTCCCCCCCCCCCCCGAATAGCCTTAACAGACTCTAGGGGCAAGTGCTGTTAGCGAGCACCTATGAAGGCGCACGAACGGCACACGAGCGGGTGGGTGGCCAGCACCACGCCCGGCCGCATTTGTCTCCCTAGTGACAATGTTTTTTTTTACACCGCACTAGGAACTCAATTGAGGCTGAGTCGACCTAGGGCAGGCCCAGGACTGGTCACTGGCGTTGGCCGTGAGCGGGAATCGAACCAGGATCGCCGGGTTTTGTAGCGCAGATCGCTGACTGCTAGATTACCCCCCCCCCCCCCCCACACACACACGTATCTACAGTAATTGGCACATACCTAATTAAAGTATGTACGGGTCAGTCATTTATAAATCCACTGCTGGATGAAAGGCTTCTCAAATGCCGGTGCAGATCGTGGGGAGTTAGTTGACTGCTTCACCTCGCTGGGACTGGCCAGTGCGGGTTGGTGAAGGCGGGGAGCATAGATGTACAGCACAACGGCGGTTCAGAATATAGCCAGCCCAGCAGCCTACAACGCCTGTTATGCGTGGTGGCCGACCAGCCATGACTGGGAAAGCGTACCCTCTTTCAACAAAGTGGAAATTCCACGTTCCCGTGACGGTGGATCATTTGGGCAGATTCGACTTCCGCTGTTGAATTCTGACAACGTGTTGCTTATTCTCGTGACATCGGATGGATGAGTCCGTCGTGCGTCCCCCCAGATTTGAATTTGACGGCATTGTTGATTTGTCCAGTTAAAAAAAACCCAGCGAAGCCTCAACTAAAAAAAGCATCAAGGAGGGCCCTCCTGCATTGGGATGTTGTGAATCGAATTCAGGTCTCACCGGGTTTCTCACGCAGTGCACCCACCGCTGCACCCATACATCCATACAAAGACAAATATCCCCTCCGTATAGCCTTAATAGGCTGTTGGGGCAAGTGCTGTTAGCGAGAGCCTAAAAAATGCCGCAACGGTACACAAGGGGGTGGGTGACTCGCACCACGCCTGACCGCATTTGGCTCACCAGTGGGGATGTTTACACACCGCACCAGGTACTCATTTGAGGCTGAGTCTACCTATGGGAGGCCCAGGACCGGTTCAGATAATCGTCACTGGTGTTCGCCGTGAGCAGAAATGGAAACGCTGGTGGCCGGGTTCGTAGCGCAGCGCGCTAACCGCTGCACCACCGCTCCCCCCACATACATCCAACAACAGCAACCGCCGTTCACCGCTAAGTGGCGGTGACGGAACCACGGCCCTTGTGCCAGGCTAGGTGCACTTTGAGGCCACGTGAAGTGGCCGAAGGCCCGCTGGCAAAGAGGTCACGGAACAGACCCAGATGCCGTGGGTTGACTGAGATGACTGACAGATGCACCGTACATACGAAGACACATACACACAGATGACTATTCTATAAACAATGTGTGGGGGGTGATTGATTCCAGGACCTGTGGCCAGATGCCATTCATCCGCTATGGGAAAGCAGGCCGGCTCTGCTTGCACTTTGCATGCAGGGGGGATAGGGCGCAGGGCAGGGTTTAATATCTCCCGCTGAATAGTTTCCGTGGTTGCTGCTTAACCCAAGTAGGTGACGCGTGACGACAGTAGCCACAAGCCACAGCGTGAGGCATACCGGATGTGGTGTGTAGGGTGAGGATATTTTCCACACGGGTAGTAGATTGCGGTAGGTGGACACGTGATCAGAAGTGGTAGACACAGGGGGATAGCGAGTAGGTAGGTATACTAAACGTGGTGCGCCGGGTGAAGATATATTTATTTATTTCTCAGGGTCGCCAACCCATGACAGATACGGCTGAAATCATGAGCGTCTTGGCAAATTGTGTTTTTCAGCTGTATCAATCGGATATCTCAGCGAGCTTCTTGAGACTCCACGTTTCCCGCGGAGATGGGAGCGATGCCATTGGATCGTGTGCAGGTGTAAGGTGGCATTGTTATATCGCTGTGGGGAGTGGTAGTGCAGTGGACAAAGGCGGTAGGGCCCGGTGCTGGCCAGCCAACCCCTCGTGTGCCGTACCAGCCTTCATATAGGTGCTCTCTAACAGCACTTTCTCCCAGAGTCTGTTAAGGCTATACGGGGGATCTTCACCTTTGTTATATCGCAAATGGTTAGCGCACTGTGCTCGGAACTCGGCGATCAGAGTTCAGTGCCCGCTCACGGCCTACACCAGTCATGATTATCCGAACCGGTTGTGGGCCTCTTCTAAATAAACTCAGCCTCAAATGAGTTCCTGATGCGGTGTGTAAACATCGCTAATAGGGAGACAAAGGCGGACGGGCGTGGTGCTGGCCACCCACCCCCCCATGTGTGCCTTTCCGGCCTTCATAGGTGCTCGCAAACAGCACTTGCCCCAACAGTCTGTTACAGGCTATACGGGGGGTATTTGTTTGTGTGTGTGTGTGTACGTGTGAGCACAAATTATTGTATGGCTGACCATGTCATTGTTCGGTTTGGCCCAGACTTCGTGCTGTGAGGCTATGTTCTCGGCATCTTGGGAAGAAAACATCATCTAGCAGCGGATCGGTCATTGCTGACGATGATGGATACGATCTCTGCTGCAATTTGTGATATAAAAAGCTGATGTGCCCAAGCCCGTTGTGAATGAGTATAAGGCCTGATCGTCATCATCATAATCAACCATGTTTAATCCTCACCAGGCCTCACTAAACCGCCTCTACCTTTCTCTCACGACGCTGCGATGTAATCCACCGAGCAACTGCCCACGAGCTGATTTCCTCACTCCATCTCTTCGGTGGACGCGCTGCAGTGCGTGTTCCCTCCTCCGGCTACAACTCCGTCCTTAATCTGGACCCAATGTCCATCATCCCTTCTGGCGACGTCTCCTATCTTTAAAACAAAACCCAAAAGACAATATAGAGACGCACGTAGATGCAATTAAAAATCACCCACACGTTTATTTATAAATAGAAAACCATCTTAATCATACATAACATGACCTGACCTCTGACCTGACCTGACCCCCGATGTCAAAGGCAGCTCAAGGCCATAACCAAGGGTCAAAGGTCATGTGCCGAATCAGCAAATTTTCCACCCAAAGGTACACACGAATGTACATTGCATACTGTACATATTGATATTTTTTCGTAATTATTATTTACTTAGTTGTGGGGATTTTTTTCCAATCACTTTTCTCATTTTTTTGGTACGATTTAAAAGAAAAAAAAATTGCTTGCAATGTACAGATTCGCCACGCTGAAATTAAATGTGGGATTAATTTCTTCATTGCGGAACAGCTGTCCGATGTGTTTTTCAGGGTTGTGCTGCGCGTCGTTCGGCACGACGTCCGACGTTTTGCTCCACATGCTGCCGGAAGCTTCTTCAGGCAACGTCAGGTAGGCGAAGAAGCTGCCCGGGACGTGGCGCGAAACGTCGGACGTCGGGCTGAACGGCAGCACGCGGGAACGACCCGAGATAGCTCATTATTTGGAGAGCTACACAGCACGACTCAAGAAAACCCTACACAGTGGTTCATTGCGAATTCAGAGTGCGACCGAAGATGGCGCGCGGGTTGTTATCAGACACGCTCATACGCGGATGGAAACATCATAGGTTATACGCATTTTTTTTTTGGGTGGGTGAAATGTTTACAAATAACTTATGCTTACATTACGTACGATTTCCTTTCGAAAAAAAAAGCCTTGAGTGTACAAATTCGTGTTTCGAGAAATACAATGCTCCTCTCACTGTGTTTGGCTGAGAAATTGAAAAGAAAAAAATCGATTTACAGGTGAGAGTTTAAGGACCGTACTCAAACTCTCCGATCCAGTGGCTGACGGTGGAGACCAGGGCCGGATTAACGCGGAGGATTTAGGGGGCTGCAGCTCCAGGGACTCGGATTTTGAGCCCCTCCCCCCCCCCCCAAAATATATAAATAAGTAAAACAAGTTAAAGGTGCAGCTCTGCAATGTCTTGCTTCTGCCACTGTCAGACGTCTTGGAAGAGGTGGGAGAGTCTTGATTACGGTTGAAACTCAAAACTAGCATTCTGACAAACCCTATCGATAATTTTGCAATGAAATCCATAGAATGCCTGCGTGTATTACTACGAGTTAGGTGCCAAAGGTAATGACGTATTTTTGTTCGTATTTTACTCTCATGTAGTGTTACAACAATTTAGAAATGCAAATACTGTTAAATAAAGCCTAACGAACCGAGGTGAATGGCAATTGGGTGTTTGACATCGGGCATGGGCGGTAGCAAAGCCTTCGGCGGGGGTGGGGGGGGGGGTGATTATACAAAGAGGTTCCCCCGAAATAATAACAGCCCCTGGCCCCCATCAAACGTAATCCATCATCGTCAAAGAGAGTCCACCGAGAGCAACAGCATACGGCCCAAGTCTGGCGAAACTGAGCCGCGGTGAATCGACACGGCCGAAGAGTTGCGCAATCACATGTCTCCACGCCTTTCCCCGCTTTCCCGTCCAGTGCCAACGCGTGGCCACTCAGAATGCGAGGCGATGGCGCCGTCTTCACCGTGAAGCGACTGGCGAACCCCAAAGTAACTCCATAATGTACGCGCACAGCCCTTTTGTAATATCCACTGTTGGACGAGGGGCCTCCTCACGCCGTTGCGGGCTGTCGTGTTTATTTGACCGTACTTTCACCACGCTGCCTAGGGCGCTGTGCAGTGCAGTGCAACAGCGGTGCACTGCTGCACTGCAATCTGTTCCGTCCATCACGTGGCCCCGCGGCCTGTGACACGTTTGTGCATGGCTCTATAATGCTCCAAATAGAAATAACGTATCCTGACTGTCACCGAGACAAAGAGGAAGATGCAGAGTTTTCGGTGACTGGCTTCCTTCAGGAAAATAGTTATTTTTGTCGTTAATATATTTAGATTTTTTTATTATTTTCATTAAAACCTCTTATTAACTGCAAGGGGATGGGAGCACTGGCCGAGGTAGCGGATCACGCACTCCGCCATGAACCCGGCGACATAAGTTCGATTCCCCATCACGGCTTAGACCAGCGGCGGAGTGACATCGGAACCGGTTTTGATCCGCTCCCCGCACGCCCCTCCAGAACCCTTTCACAATCCCGGACTGACGAGCGTGGTGAAGTACGGTCAAAGAACCTCCATAACCGGCATGGCATGGGGGAGGGTTTTTCGTCCAGCAGCGAACTGACATCAAGGCTCTAATGGGGGCTAGGGTGGCAGTTCATGGCTGCAGTGAAGACGAATCTGAGTGAATGTCTCTCGCATAATTCCCAGAGGCCATGCAAAACCAAGGGAGCCGGTCTCTCCATAAGATTTAATAGAATTATTATTATTATATTCCCACTCGTCCCCACCCGTTATAACATTTCTCTCCGTGATTCCAATTTCTCAAGGAAGGATTTAAATTGTCCTCTATTAAGATAAGTCGTGTTGATATTCCCACAATTACAATAACACTTGGACTCGCGGCCGTTAATAGGCTATACTAACTTGAATGCGTGAGCAAGGTCGTGGCAAGTATTAAAAACCGGCGCGGTCTCAACGCTGTCTCACAGAGGAACGCGTGATGCGGCGGGGAAGCACTATTCAGAACACTCGCGCGGAAGGGGGGGGGGTGTGGAGGAGACGTGGGGTGGGGTGGGGGGGGGGGTGCTTGCCGGCCTGAGCAAGCTCCAGGTAACTTGGTAAGGCGCCGGGAACTCGCGAAGTCGCTGCCGCCACCGCCGCCGAATAACGGCACGACGGACCCGGCCGTCTGATCGTGGCGACGCGGCTGTGGTTAGAGATTATGCATGGGTTAGTGCGACAGGGTTCGGGGGGTTCTGTACACGGGGGGTCGTGCGGCTAAGGGACGATGGTGAATTGCTGCACTGCGATAACGCAGCCGTCGCGTAAAGGTGTCGCAATCGTTGCGCGTGCGCGATGCTCAATCGTTGCGCAACGACATACAATCGTTGCATACCCCTCACCGATCATTGGGCGGTGATGCACAATCCTTGCACTGCACAATCATTTGTGCACCGATGCACAATCTTTACGCAATCATCGCGCGATGATTGCGCGGCGATACGCGAACCCCTGTAACGCTTCTGCCGTCGAGCGATTCGCGCTCACACAGCAACGGCTCGCTCCGCTCGGGATGGCTCGGCGTGCGGAGCGCATCTCGGCAAAAACTCGGCGTCACGTCGCGCAAAGTTGGTCAAATTCAGCCTCGGGATTCATCCGGCGTTCAAACGGCCTCTCGCCTGATGGCCACCACCGTCGGAAACTTTACTCGGCAAAATGTATCCGACACCGTCGAAACCTCCCCCGCCCCGCCGCAGAGGTGTTCCACGCAATGAGTGCGAGTTCACACGTAAACCTTGCTTGCATTTTCTTTTTTAAATAAGAACGCCCGGCCAAGCGATTCCATTGTCTCGTTTTTTTTTATTCTACTTGTGTTATTGCGAAACGCCATAAAGAAAGTATTGAAATCTTCCGAAGGAAGCGAAAAAACGTGCGGTTGCATAAATAATGCTGTGACAAAAGAGCGCTGTAAGCAAAAATTGCGCTCATCGCAGTAATAATAATAACAAAGCTGAAAAAAGGTGAAAAAATGTCACTCAGCATCAGATCGCGTCGTTTAAAAATCCGCAGCGGCGGTGGCGGCGGCGGCACTGCGCAGATTTACACGCAAACGTGGCCGCGACTTTTATCACGCTGGACCCCTACGCGGTGGGCACCCGTCCACCCGCGTGTCATTACTCGGATATCATAGATTATTACCAACTTCGTGTCCCTTAAGCGTAATAAACGTGGAGTGGCCCTCGTGATGGGCCGAAGGGTCTGAACGGCGGCGGGTGTGAATGGCAAGGTCCACGTTAATGACGTAAGCCGAGCGGGTGATTATATCGAGTGCCTGTGTGTGGCGACGCTGCGGTGTCCGCCTCCAAACGAACACAATTGCACGACACAAGAAAATTAATCCGCAAGTATAGGTAATCTTGAAGCGTCGTGTTGCCGGATGACTGAGCCCCAGGAAACATCTGTAGAATACTGAGCACGTGTGAGCGTGTATGCGTACGTGTGTGCACTATATATAGGTATCTTAAATTGACACGTTCTTTTTTTTCTTATCGTTCCATCAACTGACACGTGTTGAGCTCCTCCTGGTAATCCATACTGGGATTTGTGAAATCGCAGGTGATGTTATTGTTGATTTCTGCTTCCAAGTGGGAGAATTTCGGATCTTTCCGACAGAGTTAATCGAGAAAGTTGACGACTGCATAAATGCAGCCTGCGAGATTGAAATCCCAGCGCTGTACTTCATTTGATTGTCATGGTCTACACTACGGTCATTTAAACGCAATACATTTTGTGAACCGTTCGCAAGGTTGTCTTGCCGCTCACTCACGATGAGCTCATCCAATTGTCTCAGTTCTTTGTGGAAGGTGCATTTGTACAAAATGCATTTTGTTTTAAACCACCGTGGAAATAATCGTTGTAATGCTTTCCACTTTCGCGCTCTTCACGAATGAGAATTCACGAATCAAAAAGAAACGGTGGAATTTAGGATCGCAATCAGATTGTGAAGCTTCGCAGTTATTCCAGAAAACCGACGCGATTAACGGAGAGAAATTATGTAACCTTCGTAATAACCGTCATTATGGTTATTAGGAAAAAGTAAAGAAAACACTGGCAATGAAATGTAATATTTTTCCACGAAAAAAATGTATAATCGCAGTTTAATCACAGCAAAATAAAACAAGAAATAAACCCGTTAAGTGAGGTGGGGCATGGCCAGCAAAAAATCAGCAGAGGGGACCAGTGGAGAAGGGCAATTCAAGTCCTGAAGCCTAGAGTACTGTGGCACCACGAGGGGTGTCAGAAGTCGGCTCCATGTGGTCAGCAACTCCTTGTGGTGGGGGAGCTCCTTGTAGTTGTGAGGTGGTTTGTGGCTGGGACTTTGATGTGATCTACAGCTCCATGTGGTCAGGAGCTCCATGTGGTTGGGAACTGCTTGTGGTTGGGGGCTCCATGTGGTTGGGACTTTGATGTGATCAACAACTCCATGTGGTTGAAAGCTCCTTGCGGTTAGCAGCTCCATGTGGTTAGCAGCTCCATGTGGTCGGGAGCACCATGTGGTTTGGGAACTGCTTGTGGTTGGGAGCTCCATGTGGTCAGGAGCTCCATTTCGTTGGGAACTCCATGTGGTTGGAACTCCATGTGGTTGGGACCTCCACGTGGTTGGGACCTCCATGTGGTTGGGAACTCCATGTGGTTGGGAACTGCTTGTGGTCGGGAGCTCCATGTGGTTGGAAACTGCTTGTGGTTGGGAGCTCAATTTGGTTGGGAGCTCCATGTGGTTGGGAACTCCATGTGGTTGGGAACTCCATGTGGTTGGGAACTCCACGTGGTTGGGAGCTCCACGTGGTTGAGAACTGCTTGTGGTTGGGAGCTCAATTTGGTTGGGAGCACCATGTGGTTGGGACTTCCATGTGGTTGGGAACTCCATGTGGTTGGGAACTCCACGTGGTTGAGAACTGCTTGTGGTTGAGAACTCCATGTGGTTGGGAGCTCCATGTGGTTGGGACCTCCACGTGGTTGCGAGTTCCATGTAATTGAGAGCTCCGCCCGTGGCTGAACCTTCTCTGCACTCGTGCAGCCACCCCATTCCCGTCCCCGCAATCCCCGCCGCGAGTCCCCGCGTCGCCGTCGCCCAGCCGCGGCTCGCTCCGGCGTCGCTCAGACGAAGGAGGAGAACCCCGCGAGCGCCGGCCGGTACCCGGGGCCCTGCAGGCCGCCGAACTCGGGCTCGGTGAGCGGGTACGGCGCGCGGGCCGTGTGGTTGGCACCCTCGGCCTCCCCGCGCTCGGCGCGCGTCACGTCCTTCTGCTGCCGCCGCCAAGAGTTGTAGTACGTGGGGTCGCTCATATAGTGATTCACGAACGAGTGCTGGGCCGCGGCGCCCACGGCCGCCGCCGCGGCCACCGTGGACGACGATGTCGGCGTGGCCGGCGCGGCCGAGGTGCCCTTGGACGTCGTGGTGGTGGCCGTGCCGCCGACGGACGGCGGGGAGTCACGGTCGGTCTCGTGCTCGTCCGAGTCAGCCTCCTCCTCCACCTCGCTCTGCGGACGCACGGACAGGGGGGGGTGGGGGAGGATTAGGGGCCGGGATGAGCGGCGGCGCAGAGCAGTTGAAATGCCCCCCCTACCCCCCCCCCCCACCCCCTGTCCAACACCTACCCCCACCTCCCCTACCACCCTCCCCTCTGTGTAGGCCGGCGCCTGGACCCCTTCTGGTGCACGGAGCTCTCTGGCGCATGGGCCCTCGTGCAGCGGCACCACCTGTACACTCAATGACACTGGAGTTGGGCTGGTGTTGGTTAGGGATTTAGCGTGAGGATCAGTCGTAGCAGGTGCAGGGGCCTCAACGTGCATCAAGGGGAGCCTTCAGTGATGGACCACTATTAATGCCCTGGCACCCTCTCCCCGCCAGATGTTAAAGTGACGGTTTTGGGGGGGGGGGGTCCTGTCTGTCTCGTATATAGACCCAAAATGTGAGGACCCCCTCACAGCCCAAACATCTTAGATGGGGAGCCCTAAAGAGCACGTTTCAACGAGGTCCTTTGACCCCTAAAACCAGAGGTGGCTAAGGAGTCGGGGACCTCTGTGGCTGATTGCATGAACAAACGTGAAGTGATTTTCTTCCAGGCTTAACTTAAATTGCTGTAAAAAAGACAAACTGAGTGTGAAATTCCATTTAGGAGTGGGGAAAGGGGAAGGCAGGGACGGGGCGGTGCGGGAGTGTTCTGCGCAACTGGCCCACGAAATTCACAACGATAATGAAGATGGTCATCAGCGATGATTGCGTTCGTGATGTGCGATGAGCGACGCTTGTCGAGTGACGGAGCGGATGTGTCTCGCCGTGACGGCGCCGTTCATCTGCCGTCGGGCGCTACAGCCGGCTTCAGGGTAGGGAAAAAAACCCGCACCGTGTACGGCAAGTGAATTATAATCCACTCCTATCCAATTGATTATTATTTTCTTCTTTAATGCGTCTACTTTTTTTTAATCAGCCCCACGGCGTTTGCAATTCCGTATTGATGAAAGTTTTTTTTTAAACAAAATTTGTTTTACGGAAGCAATGTTAATAACACCGATAGTGAATCACGCCGTTAAGCACCAACGTCGCATTCGCTCTTGTTTTTTTTAAACTTCCCCGTGTTTCACGAACCGTAATTGTACCGTAAAAGTACAAAGCTAAAACAACAAGAATCCCAAATTAAATGTTTAGCGCGTTCAGTTCCCTGTTAATGGACGCGTGGGCTAATTGCAAGTCTCCGCATGACTTCACGTTAAACAAACACAGCTTTGCTCTTTTTCTCTCTATTTCTCTCTCCAAATAACAATTCATAACAGACCATGCGCCGAGCCAAAACAACTCCCGAGCGAGCGTGAGCGTTCAGATAAACCACTCTTTAAGCCCTGATAGTTGAGCCGACTGAAAGGAATGAGTTGCGGGGGGGGGGGGTGGAGGCTGGGAGACAGAGCCTTCGCAACGAGAGCGGCGGCGGGGTTGAGGATAAACAAAGAAGGGAGCGGCGATGTTGTGGAGTAATGCTTTGTAACAAGTCCTCGGTGGCCCACGCTACCCGCACGTGGGAAGAACACGCCGAACCCGGCCCCCCCTTGCGGACATCCGCGCGCCGCTCCGATGTCAATTTAAGATTCGCGTCGCAGCGCGCTGCTGTCAGGGGCCGCGCAAGGAGAAATGGTCACGGCTTGACTCGACGTTGGGCGGATTCACCCCGAAGGAGCCCCCGAGTAGCTTGATGAAGCCCAAACGCTGCTTGGTTTAAAGGTCGGAGTTATGGCGCCGATTGTACATACGACAAACAAGCGGTGGGGGGAGAGGTGGGGTCGGGTCTCCTCCCCCCCCTCCTCCTCCTCCTCAAGCCAAGCACAGAGGATGAGGGCGACAGTAAATATGCCACCACCACCACCATCGCCACCACCCCGAGAGTCGAGCAAGCGGCGGGCGGGTTCATTACGCGGGGCGCACGCACCGGATTGGTTTGCACGTGGAATACGCGACCAAACGACGCGTTTCGGTCCAGGTGTGTAACGACGCACGGATGCGTAAGATTCAGCACATCGGTTTGAAGAGCGATATGCACTGCAGTCGAATGCGCTACGCATGTTTGTGTTGTTTGACCCGCATTGCTTCTTGTGATTCAATCGCGACTCTGAATCGCGATATTTCAATTGAATAACTGGGGAAGGGATGGGAGGAGGGGGTCTAGGGATCACTGGGGGTGTGAATGATTACACCCCCCTTCCCCCCCGAATCAATACTGCTTGGAAGTATACACTGCATTATTTTAAGCTCGTGTAAATTTACTGCTGTTGACTTGAGCAGGAGGGCACAGTTGGTTAGTGCACTGTGCTATCAACCCGGTCACCTGAGTTCAATTCCCGGCCACAGCTCACATCAGTAGTTGGGGCGAGATCCGGTCTCTGCTTATGCCCTCCACTGGGACCTCTTCACCAATGCTTCCCATCGTCACCGATCCACATTGAACAAAGTGGCGAAGCGTGGTCAAATAAACCCCTGTGACCGGAGGCCATCATCCAGCAGTGAATTGACAAGGGGTGCTGTAAAGGGTAAAACAACTATATATGTATACCGTGTACACGTACGTTGTAATATACTCTGCATGCAAAACATGCACGGACACGTGTTCATGCAAACTTACACTTTAAAAAAAAATTGTAATTCAACAAACTGGGTGGGGGTCCCCCCCCCCCCATCGTGCAATTTCAGGAGTGTCCAATAGCGTAACTGAATGATTAAGCGTTATGCCGCAGCTTGTATTAATTCAATTAGCCACACCTGACATCAGCACTCAACGAAATCCAGAGGGGCCACTCAACCTGATAAACAGCTGTTGGAGCTCAATACCTCTCAGTTTCTATATATCTCTGTCTCTATCGTCCTGCCGTATAGACATATAAACTATTGGGGTAAAAGTCTGAAAGCAAGCCCCTAATTAAGGCTGGTATGGTGCATCAGGGGGTGGCATGGCCAGTACCATGTTTGGTCAGTTACCAAATGCCACTGTTATTGTACCATGACCTGGAATCGAATTTGAGTCGCTGGGGTTTACAATGCAGTGCACTAATCACTGTGCCCCTGCTCACTATGTATATAAAACAAAGACAAACGTCCCCTGTATATCCTTAACAGATTGGTGAGGCAAGTGCTGTTAGCGTGCACCTACGAACGGCGACACCGCGCCCGGTCTCCCGAGTGGCGAACTTTACACACTGCACTCGATACTCATTTGGGGCTGGGTCGATCCAAGGGAGGCCCAGAACCGATTCAAATAATCGTCATTGGTGTTCGGAATCCATTTCATAGTCCCATTTATTTCATAGTTCCATTTATTTGGTATAGCCCTGTGCGCCATTCGGCTCTTGAATCGGGTGCAACCGCAACCAACAAAAAACAAAAACATGAACAAGAAAACATCTTAAAGTGACTATGTGACTGTGCAAACACAAAATCCAGGAAAAAAAACATCAAAATATTCCTGAAATAGCACCGTACACCAACGCTTTGTGCAAAAATCCCAGTGGGATGCAAGTCAAACAACAACACTCTAACTCCGTACTACAACAAAACAAACGTCCAAACCAAAAAACTTTTCGAAATCACCAAAAAAAGCCATAAATGCAATATAACAGTGATCATACGGACTGTGACCGAATTTTTTACAATAAACTACATAAATAACATATAACACACAAACCCTAGATCCATAGCTGGCTGCATGAGTCACTCCACAACAACAGGAGCATCAGTCGGAGTATCACATTTTTCAATGCACCTTTAAGATCAGCAGACTAAATCAAAATACAGATAATGCTTTGCAGCGGTCATCCGGAGCGAAACATTTTATTTTATTTTAGGCCACTAAATAGCAGTGGCAGCTAGGGGTGTACAACTCTTAGCTGCCACTTGGGTCGCCGGGTTCATAGCGCAGCGTGCCAACCACTACCCCCCCCCCCCCCCCACCACTATACACACACACACGCAGGAAGATGAACACATGGATCAGATAACATACACAAGTTAGAGGTATATCGACTGTTAAGAAAGGTAAGTGTGCTGTCGCAGGGCATGTCGCCAGGAGGGATGATGTCCGATGTTCAAGACGAATGACAGAGTGGCAGCCAAATACGCCCCAGTAGGAGGGAACACGCCCAAGAGAATGTCACCATAGAGCTAGATGAATCGTTGCATCGCGAAACCGTGAGAGATACCTACGGCCTTCATCCAGTAGTGGATAGATCAAAGCTGATGATGACGATGTAAACACACAAATGGAAAGATACTCTTTGGTTCTATTCGGTAAAGTCACCTAAAAAATAACAAAAAATAAAAAATTCACGACGTTTTGGCCACAACACAAGTGGCCTTCATCAGGTGAAGGGACCAGGCTGTCTAGAGGACAGCGCTGGAGTGAACACAGCCAAGCTCAGACCGCGACCTTTAAGCTGTGTGAGAGGAAGCAGAGCACCTTGACAAAGGAATTAGCATAAAAATTAGCATTTAATTGGCGGACTTAGCATGATGAACGATGTACAGGGGGGGAGGATGTGCAGACCGGCGAGGGGGGGAGGGGGGGGAGTTTACATATTGATGGTGTGAAAAGGGAATTTAAGCAGCTGCAAAAGTTTGGGATACCACTACTTGAAAAAATATACTGTACCATTGAAAATTAGTTTAATGTTTGGTTTGATTCAGAACATCTTTCCAATGGTTGCTTAATTTGAAACCATCCTCTCGGTTGAAATTGTGTCTGTGTTTGTAAATCTGAATTGCCTCGTGAACAAATCTCTCCCCTTTTCACACCATCAATATGTAAACTCCGCCCCCCTCCCCCCCTCGCCGGTCTGCACATGCTCCCCCCCTGTACATCGTTCATCATGCTAAGTCCGCCAATTAAATGCTAATTTTATACTAATTCCTTTGTCAAGGCGCTCTGCTTCCTCTCACACAGCTTAAAGGTCGCGGTCTGAGCTTGGCTGTGTTCACTCCAGCGCTGTCCTCTAGACAGTCT